ACAAAGACAATACGGAGGGTCTACGGAGTGCTTTGGCCCGTTTACGCAACAGAACGGGCCCCTCTCTTCCACAACAACCCACCCCGCCGGCCTCTCCCCTGCCCCTTGCCGCCCACAACCACACTCACAGCCACAGTCAAGGCCACAGCCGCAGCCAGAGCCACGCCCACATCTCCGAAAGAGGCGCCGGCAGGTGCAGCAGCTATTGCCAGGAATCTTCGGGTAACTCGCCCCTCGTCGCCGCCACAAAGCCAAGCGAAGCGGGCAAAGGAGCCGCAGCCTCTGCAGGATCGGGAAGAGGAAAGCCTTCTGCCGCCGACGGTAGCCACATCAATGGCCTCGCCCATCATGTAAGTACGCAATTTACTATGAGATACGCAGTATACAAACTCGCTCACGGCTTGCCTTAAAATAATCCCGTACACAGAAAAAAAGGTTATCAAAAATAATAGCTCTTATGGCAAAAGTAATTAGATAGTAGTAAGTAAAATTAGTTTTGATACTGAGCTTACCATTTCGAAATGGTCAAAGATGTAAAAGCTAGAGGGTAGATAAAAAATACACTTGCCAGTATCAATGAGAAATTCTATAGTACCTTCATATTAGATATTTCCAGAACTACGTTATTGTGAATAGTACTTAATTCAATAGCAAAGAACATATTTTAAAGAATATATATTTTCAGTGAAGATATTGTGTTAATTAATACTTGAAAGTAGTGTTATTTAATAACAAAAAAAATACTTCACTGTTTATAAATATTTGCTTTAAAGCAAGAATTGTTAACATAAACTGTGAATATAAAATGGCTCTTTTTTTCTGTGTACTCGTATCTCTCGGTTACGGCCACCAAATCGGAGCTGCTATTGCTGAAATTAATACGTAAATATTTGTATCTTACACCCGACACCGCATATCTCCTAATAGTGCACCGCAAGCTTGAAGCAACCGAAATTGCAACAACCACTTTGTTAGACATGAGTATGTAAATGCTATGGAAACAATCTCCCAACTGGTAACAAGATTTTCCATGGAAATGTTGAACTAATTAATAGAAAATATTTACTCAGAGGGAGTTCACCTGTAAGGTGCTTATGTGATACGGAAAGGTATTAACAGATTATGGACTTTTCGATCTTAGCAACCGCGTGGTTGCCAAATAATTATAAATAAATACAAATTTTAAGCTGGTACACATTGCAAAAGTTGTTCTTAATTAAAGTAAGGTGATAGCATTCGGCCTATTCGAGAATTTTAATTCCTTTTTCATAGAGATTTTTATCTTAGATTTATAAAAAAAATCCTTACATAAACATTATTTAATTTAAGTACCTTTGTTTGAGAATAAAAATTTGAAAATAATTCAGTTAGTAGTAGTAGTATTACTCATTTCCAAGAGCTTAACACCACAAACCTTGACTTGGAAGTTTCTATAAGGAACGCCATATTCTCTTACATTTTGTTATTCATTTTAATTGGTTTACTCTCAACACAAAATCTAATTACTTTTATTGGGGCTTTTGTAAAAGCATCTGCCATCAACTACAATTTCGGCTAGGTGTTAACAGTTCTCGGAAAATTCCTGGTAGTCTCGTTATTGGTAATTCGATTTGCATTCACTTCACATTATGTGGGCCGCAATTGGTTTAAACGGGGCCAACGAAATACGAACAGGGTCAGCACGTGAGTGGGCCCCCAATAAAAAGGGCATTTCCCAAAAGCGACGACACCGACTTAATTGCGTAACAACATTTTACCATTAGACTTAATTAAATCGTCAACTGAAAAGTGTTCGTTGAAAATGGCTGTCATTTGGCAGTGGAACGGGGCCAAAAAGGAGGAATCTGCTGCAGAATCTGCGACAAAACCAGCATGAAAATTCGAGACTCTTGACTTGTTCCAGGGCAAGACAATATGTTGATGAGTTTTAATGAGAAGCAATGTGGATTTTGGTTTTAAAGGGAGCTCCTTCATGTGCATTGCACTTGCGAAGTTAATTAGGATTGCCTTGGCAAACAAAGCCACCGTATTATTTTGCAAACCTGGCCCACAGTAGAAAGTAGATGGTGCCTCAGATTGTGGGTGACATCTGCCGGGTTTGGCAAACAAATGGCTGGCCTTGGCCAAAAGCCGAACGTTTCTGGCCACAAGCCACGCAAAAACTTTCATATCATTGCAATTGTATGGGGTCTGTTACGTGCAAATATTGGACAATTCACCAAGCCTCCTGTTCATCAGCCCCAAACTTTGGTTATTGGAGAGCCGGAGGATGGCATCCTTTGCCAAAATTTATAGAGCTCTTCTGGGCCCGGCCAAGAGGATTAGGGCAAAAATATTTGGCCCTCGGCTCGGCCTTTTGTTGTTTTTTTGCGGGTCCTGCCAACTGGAATTAGAATGTTGAGAGGATTTACTCAGCGGCTTAATTAAACGCAATTATAATAATGTTGACGCTCGCCTGTTGTTACATTTCAATTGTTATTGCCGGAAAGTTGGCAAACATTTGCACAATTTTAATTTATTTTCGTTGAACCGAAGACAAGGGTTAACTTCTGAATGTAATGAGTATTGAATCACTCAATTACTCAGAGGTAAATTTAATTTGAGAGGAAGTCGGAAACAAAGCTGCAATATCAATTAGTGAACCGAGAAAAGTTTGCCTTGCAGTTCGACATGTTCTCAATTACCTTAATGAATTCGAATGGATAAAACAACACGAAAGTGCAATCTGCAATGGATTTGAGTTTATTTGTAAATAATTTATGAATTGGTAAACAAAAATAAACCTTGAACCCTGGCTTTAGGTTTTATGTACTTGCAACTTATTATCCGCAATCATCTTTGTCTGCTGCACACTTTTCACCCAGAAATATCCGATGTCACGGGGGATGGGGCTTTGGCCTTAAGGGTTATCCCACCAAGGATGAACATTTATTGGGGACTCACTTTGAACCCCGTTCGCTGCTCAGGTGTCTCGTCTGATTGATTTGATTGCCGTCACCTTCGGTGGGCTGACAGCCAGGCTAGCACATCTAAATGTATTCGAATGAGGCACTTTCAGTTTGTCAGCTCTCGTTTGAAGTCTTGTTCGCCATGACAGATGGAGTCGTTCGGGTTTTGATGTATACTGCGGTAATCCTTCTGGTCCAATTTAAGCCACTGGAAGCACCCAGGGGTAAATGTTCATAATTTTTCATTTCCCCCGGTGGCATTCGTTTCCCATTAAGTTAAGCGGAGCTGAATTTGCATATATCCATTACCGATGTCTCGGTCTGCATGGCTTTGGGATTTTCCTCGGTAAATCGGTTAAAATGCAATTATCGGCGCAGGGTTGCAGTTCGATGGCACTCCCTTTTTCGCCGGAAATCGAATTGATTTGCCGCTTGGCCAGACCAGTAAAGCCAGCAGGTGAATCGCACTGAATCGGGGATTTATGGCAATAAATTAAGGCTTATTGAATATGTATAAATGTGTATATATAACCGGTAGACCGAGACTCGCATAATTGACGGCCCATTAAACGGTAATGCAGAAAAATTGGGGCCCTTCCTTTGGAGACCGCTCCTCCATTTGTCGGAAATTGAATTTGATAAACTTTCCAAAGGCAAAAAAAAAAAAAAAACAAAGGAAGAGGGAGAGAGAAGCTGAGTTTCTAGGCACCAATTAGTCCTTTTAAAGAGGATAGCGATGGGAGTGAGGGAAAAGAGGGTGGAAAACTGGGCCAAGAAAAGCTACGTGCCATGCGTCAGCTGGAAAAATGGAAACCGAAAAGTTTGTTTATGCTTAGACTTTTTGGCCGGGTCTTTTACTGGGAAAGTTTGGGACGTAGCCATGTAGCTCAACTGGCTTCGACTGCTGCTGTCATTCAAGTGTTTTAATCAATTCTGATTTAATTTTACGCCCAATTAAGTGTGAAAAGCGTTTGATGTTGGGCACGGGTGCGAGAGAAAACGCGGGGGGTTTTTCCAGGGGGAGGGGGAGTGGAGAAGATGCGGATTTTCCCTCCCGGGTTTTCCTCACAGTCACGCAAGCGTGAGCATTGAATATGCCATATGTGAGTGGGTCGCTTTTGTTCCACGAGTTGTTAACTTCGGGGTTCAGGGTTCCGGGGCTCGGGGTTCATTTGGTTCGCAGCACTCGCTTACTAGGATAAAAAGGTATTTTTTAAGCTGTATTTTTGATATTTGTGCCGCTTGTGTATCCTCGATGTGGCTTCCGCACTCGCTCACCGCTCCTCGCTTATCCTCACCCACTTTTTGCTCGACCCAATCTTTTCTCGCAGTGCATCCTCTCTAACCATGGAACACCTTTCTTCCTATGACAGAAAACAGACACTGAAACAGACGTGGCACTTTGTCCCGCCAAGCATTATCCAATAATCTCTATCAACAGCCACTGCCGAGCCGCTCCTCCGACTATTCCAACTTTAACTCCAGGTTAAGTCTGTTGGAGAGTCTAGTCTGCATGACTGCCGATCCCATATCGTTGTGTTTTTGGATTTGTTTGCAGGTAAACCCCCCAACACTTCAAAACAGTTCAACACACATTCTATATTTCTTAACAACATATTTATTATTACGTTTTCTTTATATTTAATTTGATTTTGATATGTAAATATTTTAATGATATTCAGCAAGTTCTATACTGCAATTAACAATGGAACACAATAAATTAGGAATCAAGACTTTTTAATTCAGAAACACACATTTTTACTATGATAAATAAAAGATTCTATCTTAAAATGTTTATACAAATGGATCCCTAAAATGCTTTAAAGTCTCCTCCTTAGATCCTTAAGTTTATACACCCCAAATAGCCCCCTTTGGTGCCACAACTCCTCTTTTTTGTGGTGTCAAGTGGATTGTACTCATAAAACAATTTCCATGTTCGTTTACGATACCGCAGGACCCCACATACAGAGAAAACAGAAAGTTAAGTATACCGTCGTCAGGAGACAGTTAACAATATGTTTCCGTTGTAAAAATAACCCAGACCAGATTAAATATTCTTCAAGTTACTGAATATATTTACTTTGTTTTTGATTTTCATATATTACTTTTTTAAATCGATTTTTTTACACATAAATTTCGATTTACATGGGGGTAAATTTAGGGTTTTGGAGATTGTTGTAAGGCTAACAACGTTTCGTAGCTTTGGTGTTTCACTTTTTCCCCCTCCATCACTTTTTTTTAGAGGGGTATTCGCATGTATGGTAGTTTGTGTACATGTGTGTATATGTGTGAGTGTGTGTGTGCTAACTTGGCTTTCAAAGGCGATTGCCTTTTGCAGACGGGTGTTGCGTAAGCTAATTAAAAATCGTATTCCGTTTCAGTCAGAAATTTTCACTTTGCTGCTGTCCTCAAATGAATTATGTGGGTCTGCGAATGTGTGTGGGTTGTTGGTTGTTGGTTACTTTAAAGGACTATATCTACTGCCTACACTTGCAATTTTCACCATATGCTTCTCTCTTCACTGAAAACACTTCTCGTTTTACTTTCGATGTGTGCTTATGAAATACTCGCTTTTGACGAGTGTGTAAGTTGTGTGTAAATGGCGGATGAACATGGTTGGATTGCATTAACTGAGTGAACGTATCTTAACTGGTAACTTAGAAACTAACTGAATTGGCCAAACAACTCGTCCGGAGCCTTATTCGTTATTTTTACTCTCCTCTTCAGAGTCCAATTTAGACATTATAAAAAAAGAATGTATTTTTTTTGTAGAAATTTTGCAACTTCTAATTTTTTTTCTCATGGGAGTTTTATCCCCAGAATGTTGCAGTAGTAAGGTAAAGCTTAAGAATAAATTTGGACAGATTGTTGAGGCCGAGACGAAAGTGGAACGCGAAACGAATACATTCGTTTTTTTTTGAACACCAAACGCTGGCCATGATCGAAATCCCATTTAACTTGGCCAGCGTTTCAGGCAATTATTCGCGGTTTGCCTGTAAGTAAACAACTGTGTGTGTGTGCGTATAAAAAAGGCGGATACATCGAGGGATAGTTGGAATGTGAAGGGTCTAAAAACTAATTCCTTAGTGGTTGCGTTGCGCCTACGTCGAGCAATCGAGGAGCAATCCGAGGAGGCGGAGGAAGTGCCTCCAAGGATTCTCCGTGTTCGTTGCTCGCGCCCTTTTTCGAGCTGCTGTCTTTTCTCAAATGCATTTCTCACGATGAACATTTTTTTTTGGGTTCGGTTTTCTCATATACGATCTGATCCCTCTCCACGCCGAGGCCCCGAATTTTGCTAAGTTAGTTTTCTCTACTTTTTTTATCGGGTGGCTGCAGGTGTCAATGTCGACGGTTGAGTCGGTGTCTGTGTGTCTGTGGTGTCGGTGTGTGTGCGTGTTGTTTGATTGGGGGCGCATTCGAGCTACGGTGGCTCCGGTGGGCGGTGGTTCGTCGGCGGCTCGGCTCACCTCACCCCACCACCACCCCACGCCGGGCACTTCCCATGTTGCAAGCGGTACTTAGTAGACAATCAGCAGGTTGTTCTCATTGAATCCCGCCGAGTGGCCGGCGTTGCGTACAATGAAACTGGATCCGTCGAAGTGCATGCGTTTCTCGTTACGACTGAAAGAAATGGGGAAGCATTAGATAAACAGAGAAATCATAAGAAAAATTATTTAACTAGTTATATGGATTTTTATTACATATTTTATACCTTTTTGAAACATAAAGCATAAAAAACCACTTTAAAAAAATTGTAATGTTTATTGATTTTTACTATGACATGATTAACTTAATCTTGCTTTTTTTCTAATAGAGGAGACCTTTATGAACTCATTTTTAATAACATTAAAAAAAAACTCTAATATTATTTGTTATACCCATAATCAATTCTTAATTGGACCTCTGAACTTATTTATCATTTTGTGGATCTAGTTCTTATTTAAGCTTAAATAAAGGTACTCTTTGATTCGCATACTTCAGTTTGAAATAAAAGAAGGGAATACCATTGAAAATTGAAATCTCCGATACAACTTTTTTTTGAGTGCCTTATATCCCAATAACCAAGTGTCAGATTGAGGCAGTAACCCCTCAACTCACCGGACAAACAGATGCGAGGTCTTTCCCAGCGAGGCGGTGCAGTGGATTCCGGGGGTGGTCAGGGTGGCGGATCCGTTGGCGGGACTCGTGCGGATGAGGCACTTGTTGTGCTGACGGGTGACCTTCACCAGGCCGTCGGCCGCCTGCGTGATGCGGAATCCATTGATGTCGTACACCTCGGTGCCGTCCTCGGAGCAATTGTAGCTGGAGTTGGCGATCACATCGTGGGCATCCGACACGAAGGACGGTCCGTGGCGCGAATCGCTGCTGGTTGTTAATTAGAAAGGGGAGCCCAATTCAATTGATTTCGGCATTTGGGGGCCTTTGTGCCCGGCACTCACTCGTAGAACACTGCCAGGGTGTAGTCCTTGGTCAAATCGGTGAAGGTGTCGGTGGTGGTGCGCGTCCCGGCGGTGTCCACCAGGTAAATCAGGGCACACGACTCGCTGGTGAAGCTCACGCCCTTGTACCACATTTTGGCATAGCGACTGAAAGGAGGGGACGAAAGTTCAATCAATTTGGCTTTTTTTTGGGGTTTCAGAATTGAAACTGTACCCCCTAGTTAGCTCAGCTTTTTAATTTTCACAATGGAAAATCTATACCTTAGGTAACTCAGCTAAGAAAAGAGCTTATATATCGGCAACTGGATATGGTTTACTGCTTAGGATGAGCACAAATTAAAGCCTTTTAAAATTAAAAGGATTGAAACTGTGAACTACAGATTTACTGAAATTCTCTTAAAGGAAAATGGAAAAAGGGAATGTTGCAGAAAATAGAATTATATTGTAACAAAAATGCTTGTTAAGAAGGAATCGTATGGAAAAGGGAAAATTCTCTCGCAATTACATTTTGATTCCAATTTCTTAATGTAAGTTAAATAGCTAAGCTTCAATCTGCACACAAATTTATGAATGGAGTATATGATTTCAATTTGATCATTCAATTTTTGAATAGAATTAATACCACCAATGAAAAATCCTCATTGTAAATGGTTTATATGCCAACTGTATTTAGCAAAACTTACACAAAGTTGTTGGCCTTCATGCCGTCGTAGGTGACGATCTCCACCTTGGAGCCGCTCTGCAGGATGCGTCCATTGGGGTGGATGAGGGCAGAGTTGCTGCAGTTCCTCGACAGGGCGACTGCCACATTGCTGCGCTGGTTGTGCACGCGCACCGCCTTGTCCAAGGTCATGTCAATACTAACGGGAATTTAGAGTAAATAAGGATTGATTCTTTAAATGAGGGACTCTCCACCCACCGAACGCCATCGCGCAGACGCAGCTGGATGGTGCCGTTGGTCATGGCAATGGGTCCTGATCCTGGACATGGCGGTGGTGTGTTGTTGTCGAACTCAAAGGTCCGGGAGCTGACCCGACCCAGGGCGTAAGGCGGTGGGGGCATTGGGCCCGGGAACTGTTGGGTGTGATGCGCCTGGGGCTGGGGATTGATAATGTAAATCGAATATATTACCAACCATTAAAAAATAAATTCAAAATTTTCTAAAAATTAAAAGAAGCTTCCTGATTGACAAACGAAACTTATAATCATATCAAATATTTAAAGTAGTAAACTGTTTTTTCTAATTTATTAATTTAATTTATGCTTTTGTGTGCATGTTCTTATTATTCTGTTTGAATAATCGTTTAGGGGTGATAGTTACCAAGCAGTAGGCTCCATCAGCCTCGTAGCCAAAGCTGGCATTGTAGCGACCCGTGTGACTCTTTCCGCTGCGCGTGATGTTGGCGGCATCGAGCTCCAGGCCATCGTATCCTGAAGCCACCTGCGGAATGCCGCCGAAGGACGAGTGTGAGGCCGAGTGCATGCCCAGGTGCATGTAGGGACGGGCACTGCTGCTCGTCTGGCTGGAGCACTCCTTGGCAAGGATGGCGGTGTTGGTGCCCACGCTGGCGCTGTTCCCCAGACTGCTGCTGCTGCTCCCGCGCTCCATTCCCCGCTTCGCCCCGCCACCTCCGCTGCCGGCGTTCAGCGACAAGCTGCTGAGGCGAGCGCCCAGCGGGCTGCTCATCGACGGCACCAGTCGCATGGTGGCTTGCTAAAGAGTAAACATTTGAACATTTTTGGGTTTTTTTTTTAAATATATTTAACGATATATTCTAATCATTATTAGTTAAATCAACTCCTAAAAAAAAAACAATTTCTTAAAACTGAATTTTTTGTGCACAAAAAAACTAAGAGAAAGTGCTTTTAAACTCCCGCTATTTACTGCCTGCTTTTCGCAAAATGTTGCCTACACAAATGGGCTTTTACAGAACAGCTATCAATTCACCACTATTGTTCCTTATATTTGACCATTTTTTACCATTTTTAAAAAAGTTTTTCATATTCTATACAAAAAAACTTTAGTAGTTTATTAAATTAGAAACTAGAATAAAAGCATATTTAATCATTTTGTTAAATTACGGTAAGTGAAAAACTCTTCAGAAAAAAGTTTTTTACCAAAAAAGTAATTGATTCAAAAATGTGTTCATTAATTCAATGTTCATTATCCAATGTTGATTTTCTGTTTTTCACTTGCACTCGTTTCTCATTTTTCTGCTTTACCCACCTTTTCCAAAAAGAACAACCCTAACAACACTAAAAATAATTTGCAAGTGTCAAAAAGTGACGGCAGAAAATACAAAAGAAAATTGATTGAGGCGGCAACTCTACGCATCAGTAAGCAATTAAATCAAATATGAGTATATATGTTTCTTACGAACCGGCGACGGATTGTTGTTGGTGTAGACGGAGCGCTGGCGCACTCCATTCGGAGCCTTCGTGGGCGATCGAAGGATGTTGTTGATCTTGTCGTTCATCTGGGCGCGGGACAGGAAGTCCTCGGCATTAAAGATGCCCACCCTGCCGCTCTTCGGGGTTGCCACCAGGGGGGGTGGTGGTGGGGGTCGGCGGAGGACCCACTGGCTCCGATTGGGGCTCATCGCTGCCGGAATGCTGGCACTGCACCTCCTTGGTGCTGCTGGTCTTTGGGGCAACAGAGTCCTTCGGTTCGATGACCATTTTGATTCGAGACTTCACTTGACGAGGTGTTTTTCGAAGGTGGAAAAAAAACTGTGTGCCAGTTTGTGTGTGTGTATGAGTGTTACTTGGAGGACCGGGAGGCCTGGACTTTGGTGGGACTTGGTGTCTGGATCTAAACGAGAACGGCACACGCGCGTGCTGGCTGCGAAAATCAAGTACTTTGCTCGACACGGAACACAACGACTCAATGAGAGGAATTTAATTTTTATTTTTTATTACTTTTCAAGAGCTCTGCTCGCTGCGACAATTTTCGAAAGAATGACTCGCCACATCTGCCGATTGATGACTATGCCTTCGATTTTGACAGACGCACGGCCTACCACGTTTTTTCGATAGGTGAAAATGCGCTGGTGAAAACCCTAGGAAGTTGCCAGGTACCCTTGGTCATTTTCCTTTGGGTCAGTGTGGCAAAACCCTGCAAATTTTGCTCATATTTAACCCCGGCGAAAGTTCACCGAACATCCGATTTGTGTTGCATACTTTTCGTCGGCCGGCAGTTGATTGAATTCAAAATAACGCATTTAGGGGACGACACTGTCGGATGAGTTTTAACTGCATCCGGCGAAAAGGGCTTTTAGTGCCCCGGAAAACGAAGTTTGCCAGCATAAAAGTCAGCCCCATGGCCAACTTAATTTAATTGAGAAATAGACTTGAACACAGAAGCGTTTCTGGGCAATTTATTGCAGCACTTTTTTATAGTTTCGCTCAGCTGAAGGATCTTTAACGGAGGCTCCGACTTTGGGACTTATTGATAAATTGCATTCGCTGTAAGGGGAAACTAAAAGGAGAAAGTACTCTTTTTGCCTGTGGAAAAACGAGAGTAACAAACTTCTGAAGAGCTGGTGGGAAATGTCAAGAGTCAGATAAAAAGTTATGTTGGAAAATGAGCGTTTGTCTTTGCGATGCGCAGGAAAATGTCAAAAGGATGGATATCCGTTGATTGATTCAATTTAAAAATAACATCTTTTTATTTCCTTCGTATCGAAATGATACGAAATTTTATGCTAAAACAGCAAAGAGTTTTGAAGTAGTTTTGTTCGGGGTTGCTGAGTATTTTAAATATTCTACATTAAAATATATGCAAATTAAAATTGAATTCCTTTCTATGCAAAATTTGTACTTTTGATTTAATATCTTCATCGGTTAATTGGAATTTGATTAACATATTAGCCACAACTTTGGTGAGCCTTTAAATATAATATATTTTGTATTTTTTGGCAACCCGTTGATTTAATTTAAACATAAAATGTTTATGTTTGTTTTCATTTGCTATGGAATGGAAAACATCCAATATTATTTATTAGCTTTTAGCTCATACTCAGTGGTTTTGCTGTTAAAAATTAATCAGTTGCCAAATTAATAATTTATATAGATACTTGTTTTGTTTTTTGTGGAAAATTTGGACTTTCGATACAGCTCTTTCATCGGTTATTCGCATTTGTGTTGACATATTAGCCACAATTTGGCAAACCCCCAAGGTCGTTTAATCCGCCTTCTGTTTGGCTTTAGTTTTTTTGCTTTTGCGGGTTCACTAACTCACCTTCGGGGGAAAAGGACCCTGAACTTCCGAATCGATTGTGTTTTTGCCCCGACTGTCAACTCTTTCCGCTGAGTTGCCATGATTGATATTGGCGCTTGGTTTTGGCTTTTTCGCGTGGAATAGTTTGTCTAATGAGCGCATTGACTCCCTGCATTTGGCCATCGGCCCACGCAAATTCAAGTTGTCACTTTCGCCATCGTTTCTATTTCAATTGAGGCGCTTATTTGCGCCACTGACAGATTTGAATTTTATTTTTGGCACTTGTCGGGTCATTAAAATTCAGCCACTGCAGCTGCATCTCCACCCACGAATCGCATTGACTCAGTTTTAAGCAACGCACACTGACGGCAAAAACGAAAAAAAGAAAATATATGAACAAATTAAATTTATTTATAGCAAGAATGCAACTGCATATGCATTCAATGAAATACGGAAACTCATTTGTAAAAAGCACCCATGTTGTTTTTCTGTTTTTCTGTTGTCACTTTCGCCAGCCGCAAGCGAACAAATTGGTTAACCTCCTTTTTCAGTATTTATTATTCGCATTGTGGAAATATTCGCAAAATACAAATTCGCCAAAAGACCGCTGAAATTTTCGGTTTGTGTGGGCGTTGGCAAAATAGTTAGCTCTGGTTGCCTTTTAGTTATAATTGCGGCCGCTTTGTTGGCCTGGCAACATATTTGCCAAAATTTTAATTGCTTCCAATCTCAAATGAAAACTAAAATTGCACAAAAATAGAAAGCATTAGCGAAATGACTGCAGTATTTTTCTATTATTCGCCGAAGCTCATTAAAGTGTGGAAAACTATTTTCGTCGTCTGCAGTCTGAACAGAAAGTCAGTGAACTTTGGCGCAGACAAAGATGATGAAGTCTATATATATATTTTAAGGCTGGATAAAATGCATAGGACTTGGCCAGTGTTGCAATATTTGACGTCATCGTTTTGTTAGTGGCCACTCAGATTGATGAGAAACTTATGGCATAATTGAAATGGCTTTTAAGATCCATTTGTCGTGCCTTCCTTATTAAATCCTTTGCAATTTTCATTAAAAACAATTAGCACCGAACGACGCCACTTGCCTTTGTGGAAAGGAGCGTTTTCCCCGAGGGGGGCTGGAAAATGGTGATGGTAATGGGGGCGGGAAAGGGGTGAAAATTAATTGATTGTCAAGATGAGGCAACGGCAACCGAGCTGTGTAAACAAATAAATGTGTCTGGTCATTCGGCGGGGGATCTTTGTTGTCGCCTCTAGATGATAATGCCGCCCGCTGTCAGCTATGGAATTACACTCGCACAATATTATATATTCCACTCGGCTATTCATTCACTCACTCACTCATTCACTCACTCACTCACTATATATCCCAATATTCCGATGTACATTAACGGATCTTGGACGATTGGCACGCGACGCTAAAAGCCTCACGGCTTGGCTTCCATCAATATTTTGGCATTCCTAGCATTTCCCCGTCGAATTCCTCGTTGACTTCTCTGTTTACACAAGCCCCTTCGGCAGGGATCAAAAGTAAATCCCGTCCCCAGGCTGACTCACGGGGATTTCCTGGAGACGATAGCCACCTACGCGTGCCTTCAAAAAATTATATGAAAACAGATGGAAAGTCGGTTGGTTGTTCGAATTGGTCTGCGCCGCAAGTCTGCCGAATTGTCGCCGTTTGACGTCATCGGCACCGCGGCACTTGCCAAAAAAAAATATTCCATCCACCTCACCCTCATCTCATTTGGTTTATAGTATATATAGTCTATAGTCCGCTTTCAAAGGTGTGATGGGCGATTTTTTGGGCGAGTTAAACTTTCGCAAGATTTAATGTGTGCTGGCTGGCGCTTTGCCCGCGATGTCGGTCCGCATTTCATGCTTCATTGGCGGGCGAATGTGACGTTGTCGCGTCAGCTTTGATTTTGATAAAATAGGCCAAAGTGTTCATCAATAATCACCTCTGTAAAGATCGGTGAGCGAAGCAATTATTTTTACAAAATTTACACACAACGCAAACTCTTGCAGAAGATAAGTTGTCCCGGGGGTCGTAATCCATTTTTTCATTTTTGAAACATCCTTCACCCATCAAAATTTTTAATGAGTGGGCGGTTGGATGGAAGAGTTGTTGCTCTAGTTTTTCGAAAATTATTGTCAACAAGTTCTGGGAAATGTACCAAGCACGTGAATTTTACAACACTCTTGTATGGGCTTATATCAAAAGAAAACAAAACAAGAAATACAGTTTTCCTCTATTCTTTTGGTAAAGATTTAAAATATATCCAGAACATTTATGAAATACAATATTTACGAAAATACAAACAAAATTTATGGTTACTTGTCATACAAGTTTTAACATAAATTTGGGGTAAATGTATGTTTACCCGAACGATTTTACAATTGAAAATAATAAAATATTTGGTACTTAAATTAGGTACTGGATTTGAAAATTATCACAATTTTAAGCACTCTAATAAAATAGTGTTTTTGGAAATTATCGTGTCCTAATATAACATATGTCCTAATATACATATGTTTCAAAAATATAAAAGGAAATTCTGTACTTTACAATATTTTTTTCGTTTTCCATTTTACAAAGGATAACTGAGTTTTGACAAGTATTTGCTGTTCCTTTTGATAAACAAACTTCTCTTCTTAAAACACTTCTACTGACCGCAATTTACAATTATGAACTTTATTTATATAATTTTAATTACTTGAATGAAATTTCCATCCATCAAAGAAGACCGCAAAAACTTGGCGCACGCCCTAGAATATTGCTCATATTTTATTCATTGGTAGCCCACAATGAAAGCAACTGTACAAATTGTATACAAAAATGTGTGCAAAAGCGCCAAGGAGACGCAGACGTGCCTCTTGGCAGCTACCACGCCCACTTTCCCGAAAAGTGTTCCACTTTCTCAGGTTTATACAGCGCCCACCTCTTGCCAAGATTTCCCGAAAAGGCATAAATCAACTGACTTTCACTTTTTGCTGGTTCCGCCTTCGTCTGTTTTATATTTTCTTGTTGTTCTTTTTGGCGAATATTAATTTTTTCTTATCTGTATTATTACTGCGGGAAAATTTTGTCAAGATGAATTTTATAACACATGCCTCGTTTTATTTGATGAGGCATTCGTATAGATACGGATGCATATCAGTGAGTACTTATCATGAATGAGAAGTATTCACGATTTTTCCTTCCTTTTTGGGTGGAATAAACTGTCATTCTTATAGACAGACAATTACAAATGCATTGGCAACTGCAGACAAGGGTTCCATAGTTTCCGGCACGCATTTCGCTCGCTTTGTGCCATTATTTTATTTCCAATTCGAATTCCCGACGAGGGAAAAAGAGTCGGCCAGACTCGCTGTCCAGACGGAAAAGTTCAACGCACTGGCGGGCGGAATCATCGGTCTGGGTAACTCAGCCATTGTTGAATGCCAATTGGCCATAAGCAGACCAAGGAATCACAATCGGGCCGAACTATTTGCAATTCCCCAACCCCGATGCGAACCCACAGAAAAGAAAGAAAACCCAGAACATCGGGCGCAGACAACCCGCTGACTCAGAAATGTGGCCCCATCTCCCCCAGAGAACTGTCAACGTTTTGCGGCGTCCCCATTTCGTGGCAAGTGAATTTACAATTTCTGCAGTGAGCACACCTTTTTTACAGTTTGCACAGGGAGAAATGAATTTTCATTAATTTGGCTAAACAAATGAAGGTGTTTCTTTAGGTTTCCTAGTTTTAAACACACAGAAACCAAAGGATAGTTGAAAGGACATTGTTTTTATTATAAAGGAAACCCAATTACACAATAATATTTTTGGGTTGATTGTTAAACCTATTTTATGGATAAGTTGTTAATCAATATTTTTTTTAGTACTTTTTGATGAAATATAAACAATTTTATTTGGAAGAAAAGCTCACAAATTTTTTAAATAAATGCCATTTAAAATACCTTGTATACCTTGTTTTCACGCTATTTTGGTAATAAATTAAACTACATATATATATCTTTCATGTATACAATTATTTCTCAATGTACTGGGTGTAATTTTAAAGGAAATAAAAATTAAAAATTAGACTGAAAAAGGTGCACCAATTTTATTTTTTTATTAATCTATTGCTTCATAAATGCACTCAAATCTTATTTAACATGTTAATAAAAAATGATAGATTTGAAAAGCAAATGCCTAACAAAAACCCTATTATTTGTTTATCTCATTAACGTAGCAATAAAATAATATAATTATCAGAAATTCAATTTTTTTCTCACTGTACTGGGTAAAATTCCACAGCTCTCTGTGGGGGCTGGAAAAACTGCAAATAAGACTGAGGAAAGAAAAGTGAGCCGCAACCGCTGCCCATTTTCTCGTGTCCCGTTGTTTATGGACCGTTGCGGTGGCCGCTGTCAAGTGAGCATCTTCCACCATTTCCACCCATTTCGACACCCACATTTCACTGCCTTCAACTTATTACTCGGAGCCGTCTTGCTATTGGGATCAAGTCAATATTTGTCGAGCAAAAATTACTTCCTACCCCGTGGAAACGCAGGCATTTCTTAAGTACCCTCATTCTTTTCTGGACTCCGCCCCCTTAATGTTTGCATTCCTCTCCTGTCTTAATTTAAAAATTACAAATAATTGTTTGCACAAGTTGGTTCAGGTGAACGAAAAACGTTTTAATTAGGAGATGCTCCAAATTTTTGTCATCTTGTTTTGAAAGAAGTTTATTTATCTTTCATGTTTCAGGAATTGGATGCATGAGTGTTTGTTTAATAAACATTTCATGTTTTGCTTTATTCGTCTACTTTTCACATACAATTTGTAAACATTTTAGGGGAGAAAACTTTCTTAAAAGTAATGTTTTTTTTTACATATTTGATGAAATTTTGTCTCTTTGCTTGTGTTGTGCTTCCTCGTTGGGGTGAGATTTATTTAACAATACATTTTTCATTTACTTATAAATATTTAATGGGTAAGGTGCTTGGTAAATTGTAATTCATAATATTACAAATTGTTGGTAAATAGAGTTATTTGACAAGCTTGTTATATTTTGTAACTTAAAGAAATATTTTGACAGGGAAAAGCGGTACAGTTTCAATAACAAGACTAACTTAATAATTTCCCCCTCCACATTCAAGCAAAACTCATTTAACACTCAAATTTAATAATTTTTCGAGTTGTTCCGTGGGAAATGGGTTTAAAAGCCGTGCTCCATCCAATTTTCCCGAGCACATGTCCGAGCTTTTGGCCATTTTGGGATCGAGTTTCGATTTTTGATGTCTGGGCCGGAATGAAATTGAACAGGAAACGCGAAGGGGGCGTTTCCATCGTCCGCTTGACATTTCAGTGGGGGCGGTAAACTTCGCTGTTTTCCTTCATGCTGTTGTTGTTGTTGTTGATATTGTTGTTGTCGCGTCTGTTTGCTTGTTTGTTTGTTGTTTGCTTTTCGCCGTCGTGTTGGCCAAAAGCACCAGTTCGCCGAGAGCGTGTCAAACGAAACGAAAAAGTGGAAACAGCAACTGGAAACTGAAAATCGGCGGGCGTTACACATGGCAACTTTAATGCGTGAAGCTCGGCAAGCAAACAAAAAAAAAATTCAAATGTGTACACAAGAAGTCAAGGACTCGAAGAGTTCTCAGATTTGTTCGCTGCAACTCAAATGAGGCAGAGCAAACAGTTGAGCTGATTGTTTATCCAATTTATAACCGGATTGGGAGGCCAAGAAGACGTCTCACTCGTACTTACCTAAATTTGAAATCCTTCAAAACGAAATTACATTTGCTCGGGACAATTTGCACTTGAGTTTTCGCATTTCATTGCGTAAAGATGTCGGCGAATCCATTAGATACACGCAATTAGCGACCGCAGCGAGTGTCATTAGCTGGAATTCATATTCGCTATTGAGCGCGTGGACATGTCGGAAGTGCCGGTGACCTTTGATCCAATGACGTTGGCCTAAAAGCCTCCTGGTCACTGCAATTACCGAGTGCGGTTTGCTGGCCACAGTTCTGTATCCTGCATACTTGATCGGAGTCACGCAAAAGTTTGTCAAAGCCCCTGACCAAACTCCAAACCACAGCAATTAGCTTGTGTGAGCTTGGCCTAATAGACATGTAATTGGCTATTGGCAGGGCTTCCCCTTTGAAAGTTAGCTAACTGCAGGTGGTAACATAAAAGGGCAGGAACTATATTTAATAAAGCAAAAGTTCAAACTCTCTGTTAATTAGAGGGAACACAATAAATTATTATTGGTTGGGGAAAAATGTTTGTTAGCAAAGTTGAAAAGTTGCTGACAATTAAGGGAATAAAATTAATGTATCATTATTATCATCGTAGATGTCGCCATGTGAATATTTTCAAAAGGAAATGGTGATGGGAAATTAAGACAAATTGTTTTTATTTATTATTTATACAAGGTTTACAATTTTATTAACTTCAAATATAATATATTGAAGTATAGAGATTTAAAAAAATACTATTTTTAGTATCATTCTGTGTGAGGATAATTTATTTTCTTATTAAGACCTTTTCTTCTGAATATTTTTTTGCGACATGGCAGAGTATTCTAAGCTCCCAGTTCCTTGTACCCTTTTTTTGGTTCATGCCGACTTTTATCGCCAAAGTGCCAGGAAAGGCAAAAATATGAGTGACCATGAGGAAATAAGCAACCCTTGTGAAGCACTTTTTCCAGGAACTACGGCATTGTGAATTCCGCCGCCTCCACTTCCATTGGTTGAGTTCTTCACCCGTCCATTGTGTCCATTGCACAGGTTCTGCTGGCAAGAGGTGTAATATGTGCGAAAAGTTTCATCTGGCCTGTTTCCATAAAGCATCTTAAAAAAAAATATAAAAAATGCAGTCTCTAATCTGATTACTTTGATAAAAAGCAAACGAAATATGAGTAAAATTTGCATTTTTGTGAATATTAAACTAAATGGTAGCTGCTATGCAATCATAAAATAAAATATATGATATATATTCGTATGTAAATTGAACTAGCTTCGCTTACCACCGGCTCGTCCTGGCAATCGCGCAAGAAGGATATCACCTTGCTCGAGTTTCGCTGCAATGGGAATGAAAATGAAAACAGGGGAGAGCATTTTACAAATATCTACGCGACTGACTGATTAATGATAGTCGCAAGCCCCCACCAATCATCACACTTGGCCAACCGAGGAGGGCTTATTTGCATTTCGTGTCTGCGAATCGAATTTGCATTTGCCCTCGTTTCGGCGGGCAAAGTAATTAATGCACCCCACTAGCCACTCTTCCTCCCTTCTTACCCCATAAAAAGAAGACAGGGGGGAATTGCTGCAGAATTGTGCGGCACCGAGGCAATCGCAATGGCCCCAAAGCTAATGCGTAAACAAAGTTCACACCGGGGACACGTGGAAGTGCGATGAAAGTGTCTGTGGATGTGAATGTGGAATGAAAGTGGCTGTGGATAAAAGTGCCTCGCTGGAGGGACAAAGTTTTAATTGCATTGCAGTTTGTTGGCAATGCGAATAACATAAGTTTGTAAGCACATCCCGGAGCTGGCCGAAAGCGTCTTTGATCCCCACGAAATTCAATCAGCGAGTTCGGCCCCATCTAATGAGGCACTTGCGAATTTTGAAACCTCATCTGGTTGTCTAAAAGGCGAATTGAATGGGGGCAATGGAGGCGATGGGGGCTTGGAATTGCGAGGCCACAAAGTTTACTTTGTGGGGGTGTAAGCTGGCCTAAGCCTTCTAGCCGGGCTCCCATGTTCCCATCCTCTAAAGTCTAAAAAGGCTCGATGGCTCTGTATGTCTGTATGTGCGGCGCTCTTTATACGCCTTTCTGGCTTTCCATTAAATTATGGTAATGGATTTTTTATGCACTTTGTTTTCGCTCCTTGTGCTTTTTTTGCGCCCGCCTTCTCCTCGCTCCTCTGGCTCTTTTGATTTGAGCCGCTTACTGGCAAGAATTAAAGCCAGACGAGCTGCGTCAATACCGGGAAAATAACCAAGGAGTGGCGCTTCGTCAAGCGTCTGCACTTGATTGCTGCACGCTCACAAAAAGCGGTTTAACCCTCTAATGATTTCAGAGCAAGAAATTAAAACTTGGCTGAAATTGCAGATACAAGAAATCGATTGTAAAATAATAATTTACATTTTATACCAGCCAATTCTTTTCAAACTATATAAAACTAAAAAGTTTTCCTCAAATATAAATTTGTAATATTACATATTTTAGGAACCAATTATGATGACAAAACCATATTAAAAAATTATTTTTGTGCACCCTGTTAAACATCATTTCTTAGATAAATTGCAATTCAGAACTACTTTCATCAATTTCAGTGTTCAAGGTCTTATTGCTCATACGCCGCGTGGGCCAGCTAAAACTGCAGCTTCGGATTCAATTAGTCGAAGCCTCGAGTGCTGGCACGATTTAATGACTTCTTGTCCTGTTTTTTGCCTTTTTGCCTGGCCGTTTTACGTGAGAGTCGCTAATTTCAGAAAGAGGCGAACTTTAGCTGTGGCAACATTTAGCCAAACAAAGTTGAGCGGTGCATAAAAATCAAGCATTCCATGTGCCACTTTGTTGCCGCAACAGCTGCGCTGCGGCAGCTCCTCCAATCCTCCAATCTTCCAATCCTCCAGTCCTCCAGTCCTCCAATTGGGAGCTTGTGTCTGCAGATGGCTGCCGGCATACGTGAAGAGTTAAACGCTCCGCAATACTCGTTCGCCGGCGCCCGGGAACATTTGTGGCACGTTCCACGGGCGTTTTACGACCAGGGTAGAAGTTTCGCCGGCTTCCACAAATTTCCACATTCTGTGGTGGGAGGAACTGGTGCAGTTGGCCCACATATGTATGTACTTGTTTTCAGGACTTTACCCCAACCAAAGTTGGAACAACTCCTTTAATATTTAACTTTACACAAACTACAAAGTTGGTTTTGCAGTTGAGTCTAACAGAGGGTTTGCTCTTTAAAAATAAAATGTTCGGTATGGGAAATATCATATTAAGCCTTTTAGAAAAAAAAAAAAAAAATCATTCTTATTTAATATATTAATATTATTGTTGATACATATAGAACATATTTAAGAAGATTACTAAATATAATTTTTTTAATTCTTTCCATACTATTCTTTTGTTGAAGTTATTTAATTATAAATAAATATATATAAATGTTCCGTAGAATTTAAAGTGTTTTTAAATCACTAAAATATCTTTGGTGTTTTTTTTATCATTACTTCTCATCTTCTAAGCGGCTAAAGCTATAATAAATCTTTTATCTAATGATTTTTAATAAGTTTAATAAGTTTCCTGTTGAAATTTCTTAAAGTTATATATTTTTCTCCCTATTCGAGCGAACATAACCCAAACTCACCCTCAATTCCTGGCGAACTGTCACACAGTACTTCTTGGTGCAGTTGATCGCCTTGACGGCACTGGCGTTGTACAGGCAGGAGGTATCACTGTAGCCATCCAAATAGCTGCACACATAGCAATCGAGCGCTGCAAAATAAATGCCATATAGTAGAGGATTGAACGAGGTCATGACGTTGCCTTTCGCTCTCGTTTCGTTATTTTCGAATTTAAATTTGATTTTGATGATCATCGCGATGATCGTTGTGTTGTCGTTGTGCTTTTCTTAGAATTTATTAATAGCCACCCCCCAGTGGTGGATGCAGGCAACAAAAACAGCAATAACAACAACAGACATTTAGCATCTATAAAAACACAATAATTAATTGAATAAAAGCGAGAGTTTTTGGCAGCAGACTTTCTGTCTATTTGCCAAGTGGCACGACAACGTCCTCGACATGTATCGCCGGCTATATGCGTACGCGGAGCCCATTCTATATTTGATTCAGCCTTTTGTGTAATAACAATGACGTCAATGGCCCCACTAGTGGCCACCATCGCACCGAGATGTGTAAACGGATTGATGACACGAGACTTTTTGGCCGACCCTCGACAATGGTACCCGTCGCCAAGGCATTGAGATGGTGTAGATCGAAAATCTTAGGTACCAGCACCAGAAAACACTGTTCTATTTTCGTTGCGATTTTGCATTATGAGTTCTGCATAAAAGCTTAACCGAGGGGATCGTTCTTGGCACGCTTCGATGCGGTTCGCGGTATCCGAAAGATAGAACATTGTATCACCTCGGTGGGAACAGCCACGATGGGCTCGAATCTCACAAAATATTCGAATTATTTTATCTGATATTTGCTCTAAATAAATGCCATTCAATTTGTGGGAATCGAGTGGTTAGTCATTTAATCTATTATAATGCAAGCGATTCACTGATATTTTCCACTTGCCAGCGATGTGAAAACTATTCGATATTTGTTCTAATTAAAATGCAATTCAAGCGGTTAGTCATAATAATAAAAAAAACTGTCATGATTTTGTTTGAAATTCACTTTATATAAATAGAATAATTGTAACGATCTGAGTCAAATTAGGACAATGAATGTTATTTTTGGGTAAAATAATATTGGCTATTTATAATAGTTATAATATCACTTATAAGTAAAGCAATATATATTATTATATATATAAATATCTTGGCAATAGAACAGGGTTTTATGCTTTAAAACTTTATGAAAAATCCTACAAGTTACGACAAAGATTTCATGACGTAAAAGCGACAATTTTCATAGGGTCCTTGACAATAAAATCATTTTTATACGTAGGCTTTCAGTTGTCTCATTTACATTAAAGGTCAACTTATGCGGAATGAGGGCTTTTCTTGGGATATAACAAGAGCCCTTTATGATTTGCATAATTGTAAAGTTCAACTGAATAGATAACCATTGCGGCTGAGTGCCCTCAGAATTGACTTTTAGCGCCTCCTTTTTTCCACTGTGCCTGGAGGAACAACTCGTACTTGAGCACTCGCAGATCTCTGAGAAATGATTTGTATCATCTTTTGTGAGGCAATCAATAAATTTGAATGCGGTCACAGGCGAGTGACGTCGACAGCTGAACTCGACACAACAACAAACCAAACAGAAAAAAAGCGAACCGAACCGAGCCAAATTGTAAGAATAGAACGAACGGAAGGCAGAGTTCCGAGTATCAAAATGGGGGTCTATGTCCATGTCGAGAAAAGTGATGGGAAACTGTGTGCCAAGAACATTTCAAATTCACCTGATTTTTCTCGCTAAATTTCCGCTGAGTTATGAGTGCTGTAGAACGGCAATTTCGCAATAAAACAGCTAATTAAGTTAAACGGAAAATGAGCTGCTAAGTGAGTGTACTAAGTGGTAGTCAGTGGGTAAGGTTATGATTTTAGGATGGCTGATAGGGGGTGATATTATCCCTTGGAAATACCATTTGAAAGGTGTGTTGATATTACGGCGACACAGAAACCAGTAAAGAGTATGGATTTTGACAGTCTTCCATTCCGTGGCTTCATTTTGCTGACTTCTATTGAGATTCCCGGTTAGACAGCTGCAGTTGGCAATACGGAATTCCAAATCCGGAATCGTTGGCTGCGACGGCTGGCACTTGACTGACTATCAAGTGGAGTTCAATTGTCGTTCGTTCAGCGATTGATGTTTGACACACGGTAAACAATGTGCGATAAGCTATACACAATATACACCTCCTTATCAGCTGAACACAGAAAATGCACTTCTATTTGAACTGTAATTAATGGGAAGCACATTGGTTTCTTTGGTTGTTTTACAGCCCGACCGCTATGTCCCCGGTTCCCCCATCTTCCGCGACGCCAGCAGCCCAACGCCCCACGCCCCCCTCGCGGGGCCTATAACATCACCGCCCACCTCAGCCCCCCGCCACCGACACCAACACCGCCACCGCCTCTGTCACGGGTTCGAGCCCCACCAACATCACCTGCACCACCGCCACCACCGCACCAGGATCTGGATCTGGATCGGGATCGGAAACAGGAGCAGCAGGATCAACAGCTTCCAGGAGCCGAGGAGTCAGAGGTATGTAATTACCTCAAAATTAATATAAAGTTAATTTAAGGCTTCTTCGAACGCAGATAATTAACTTTTACAACTCGAGTTCGAGAACAAAGTTTAAACACGCATTTAAAACAACTTTTTCTACACAGAAGTTTTCCTTTTTTCTTTGTAATGAATTTAATTGCTCTTTAAGTTGGTACGAAGAAGTTGTCGAAACATTTTAACCTGCTCTTGCTATAAAGGTATTAGAAATCAATTTAATCTTTGAAGGAAAAGGGAAAACCCATATTTATAAAAGACTTTTTCCACCCTATAACAAACTTCTTTCTTTTGCTTTCTTTGTTTACTTACAAAAGGCAGAAGAGATATAGGTTTAATCAACTTAATAGCTTCATAAATTATAGTACATACAAACCTTACAATTTAATTACTTTGTAGCTTCAGTTTTGTTTATGTATTTTTCAAGTTATTTTGAAAAATGTTAATGCAATATTAGGAAAAATGATTTTCTTTATTTTCTTTACAACTTAAGTCAAGAAATCATAATTAAGAAATAAAAAATAAAATCTCATAAAATATTAAGAGATGATTTTCACAATAACTTGATTTATTTAGCACATAATAAATCGTTTAAAATCAAGATTTTCAAATAAATTTTAATTCATTTTCAGAAAATGAATATTCCCAATTCCCAAAACATTTCCCCTAGCTCAAAAAAATAATGTAGTGTGCGTTGGATAAGATTTGTGGCCTGATGGCTTGATAGTTGACACAGTTTTTGCGACATTTGTGTAAATAATGTACAATGGCAACATGCAAATGGCCCGGCCCGTATAATTTCCGGTCCTGTCAAACTTTTGCGCGAATTCTGGGCCAAAGTCTTCGTCGGAGTCGACCTCCTTTTCGTTTTTCTTCTTTTGCTCTGGCTGAGTTCCCTGACCTTTCTGGCCGAGTGTCGCCCATAGAGTGGACTAACTGGGAAACCTTATGGGGAATCTCCTTGAGTGCGCTTGGATAAACAACCACAATTAGGAGAGAAAAAGCAGACCGGGACATTCTGTCGTCCGCACAATTAATTGTGGAATGGAATTCGATTATTTGATGATTATTATCTCAGCGCTGTTTGATTGTGTGCTTTGTTTTTCCACGAAAAGTTCGCCCTGTTTACGTGCGAAAATCTCATGCCCACACTCCATTCAGTTTTGCGGCCAGGGAAAATCCCCGGAGACACGGAACTCTCTCCGTTGGGGAAAGACCACCATTTGCCCCCCGCTTTCGCCGTGTTGAGTCACTTAATGGCGCAACATGTGAGCCACCGGCGAATGAGGTGCCCATGTCACGCTATAGTCCATCGATTTTATTTGTTGATTTAGGAGCGATCCGGCGATTGTGTTTTCGGGGGAGTGGAATTCCCATCTATTGCGAATTCAAGCGTGCCGGTTGCCTTTGAAGTGCATATTAAAGCACTATTCAAACAGTTCTTGCAGTGGAATTTATTTCGCTCTTATTTACTTATTCATGAAATACCTGGTATTGATACGATGGAATTTTTATTTTTATTCGAAAAACTATATAAATTTGCTGCAAATACTAATACGTTTTGTATTAATAGCTTGGATTGATATAACCTCGATACTCAGTAATTCTGAAAATTTATCAAATTGCATTTCCAACTAACCGACTAATCAAAAAAGATTAATAATAATTCAAATTCAACGTTCATATTAACAAAAAAAATACATATTTATTTTCTAATCGCACATATTACAGAATTTACAGAACGAGTGTAAATATATTGAATTTCTTAATAAAATGTAAAAAAGGGGGGAAAAAAAAAATATTATAGTTAAATATCCTATAAAATTTGATTTTAATCATGTCAAAAAGGCAGTTAATTTTATTTTGAGAGCTAAAGGAGCTAAATGAGCACAAGAATTTACATAAAATCTTCTTAAAGTGAAGGTGGATGATATAATATATTTTATATAATGGTAACCAGTTCCCCTGAAAGCAGCCACAATAGAAAACCGCAGGCTCAAAACAGAGAACCCCACAGGAAACCGCAACTGTCTTGTTCTCATATTTATAACAGACATGTCCTTTGGCATTCTTTCTTCTTTTCCGCAGCCATGACGGCATCCCTTGCCCATGCCGCACAGGGAAACCACAACAACAATAGCAACCGAACCAACTCCAACTCCAATTCCGGAAAGGCCAAGCCACCGGCTGGTTATATGAGCACCCGATCGGCGGCGATGATGGCCTTGGCTTTGGGTCAATCTCCGGGCGGCAGAAACGACAAGTCTCCGTCCGCTCCTCGAGCCGCTTCTCCCGCCCGAAACCAGAATCCAGCCAAGCCCCAATCTCAATCTCAGTCTCAGTCCCAATCGCAGACGCAGTCACCGCATCCTGCCGCCCGAAGGATGTCGAATGCCGCCTCTCTGCCCTCCAATGTGTCCAGATCGAAGCCCTCCACTCCAACGGCAACCAGAGCGGCGGCCCAGCTGAATGGATCTGGTGTCTTCTCTTGTGGAAGCAACTCCAGTGGCTCCGATAACGATGGGTTCAGCACCTCCGGATCTTCCGCGGCCACTGCCCTCCGGCGGTTGTACTTCAAGAGCGGAAGGAGTATCAAGAACAAGATCAATGCCTCGACCACTTCCTCAACTCCTCTGAACGGGCTTCCGCTGAATCCCGTGTCCAGTGCTTATCACAATTCAGTCGGTGGACCCATGCACAATATGACGACTGCCGGTGGAGTCCCAAAGGTACATTTTAAGTTTTATTTCATTTCAAATAAGCTACAAAAGCCCAAAGATTTGTTATTATTTTTGTGGAAAATACCAGAAATTAAATTCTCTCATATTATTTTAACATTTCAATAGGCTAACACATTTAGTTTGAATGTTTGAATGTGAATTTAAAATATACAAATATTCGAAATATGTAATTTCATTTATTTTAATTGCCATCATGATTTGTCTTTTTACGATGCATATTTTCAGGGAAAATAATAAGTTTTTAATTAAAACACTTTTCCTGGTATTTGTTGCTCCTCTCTGGTACAATACAAAATATTACAAAGGATATATATTGAAAATAACTTCTGAGAATTTTTTAATTGAAAACGAATATAAAATATCTTTTCATTGAAACGTTTTTACTTTATACTCAATAACCCATCGTTTTAAATCGTTTCTAAATCACCATTGCTGCACAAATCAATCAAATATTTGAAGACCGCTCATTAGGAGACCAAATGGTTAACTATAAAGTAATTTATTTACTTCCTCTGCAGCTGGTGGTCATGGGAACCTCGTCGGCTTCCATTCCGGACACCACCATCAACACGTCGACGGACTCGGCCTGCACGCTCATCACGAATGTGACCCACACGGACACCTCGGAGACGTGCGACTCACTGGATCTGGGTAAGTACACAGGATACAGGACACTAGACACATAAAACTGAACTCAGGACACAGGACACACATCCTGATTTGATCGCTTGATTGATGGGCCCGCGCGTTCGAATTAATTAATCAACTAATCAATCTGGCCCACGCCTTATGTTCCTGTTCCTTCCTCGTTTTCCATGTTTCCCCCGTTTCCTCTTTTCCAGGTGACAACTCGTGTCCCAGTGAGCCGCTTTTCAGTTCGCTGGAGGAGCCGCTGCTCACCGCCGTCCACATCGATTCGGAGCACGAGGGATTGGGCGGCTTTGGGGCACTTGGGGGAGGTGCCAATGGACGCGGCGCCACTGAACTGGAACTAACGAGCTGCTCGAGGTATCCGCCAAGGCCCGACATGAATCTCCAGGACAGCGTTGAGGTAGGATGAAAAAATCGGAATTACATTCCGGACTTAATCCCCCTGGCCAACGAACCGCATCCGGCACTGAATCTTGTGATTATTTACCTCGCATTGTGCCCCGACTTTACTGAATTTACTGAAGGGTCCCCCAGAATGGAGCCTTATTGCGTTTTTAAAGCCCCAATCGCAGCTTGTTCGTGGCCAAGGACACGCGTTTTTATTTTTTTCCTTTCTAAGTGCCTCAAAACTGAGAATTTAATAACACGCACTTCTGACAACTTTGGGTCGTGATTGTCATGAATCAAATTCAAGAGCTGCTGCCGAAAGAAATGAAAAATGGAAATTTATTTTATTTGCCCAGCTTTAGCAATGTTGAATTTTTGTAACAGGCTTTAAAATTTAACATTCAATTTCACCAGAATGAGGAGATGGAATATTGAAAGCACTGTAGTAAAGATTTAAGAGTTTGTGTTGTTTTCATGCATGCAAGAGCTGCTATTGAATAAATTGAAGAATAAAATTTAATTCCAAACCTTTATATTTGCTGAGGCTAACATATTTTCGGTCTACCTAAATATTTCTCAAGATAGAAATAGAACAAAGTATTTAATTGTATTTAAAAATTGAATATAATTCTATCAATTCTATAAAATGTATTGAACTTTAAAACTGCCTAAGATTAAAAAGAGATAAAATTAACTGTCGACCAACATGTTTTTTATGGCGCAATAGCTTTAGCTTTAAAATTGATTGGTACTAAATAATCAATTTTTACTTTATGAAATAACACTTAACTTACTTCCATTACTACTTCACTTAACTTTCTTCCTTAGTAATGTATACCCACTCTATAAGTTGCACAAAACCACAATATTTGTTTATTGTTTGAAAAGACATTTGCCTTATGGTGCATCCTATAAAGTATTACTACTCTTCCCTTCTACTAAACTCTCATCCCTTCTCGTTGCAGAGCCAGGAGTCCTGTTTGTCCATCCTGACGGGCGAGCCGTCTTCCACGACGCCACTTCTCTCCTCGCAGCGGCGCCACCCGACGGGCGGTCACTCCCCAGGCAGCCAGCGGGAGAGGGAGCGGGAAAGGGATAGGGATAGGGAAAGGGAGAGGGATAGGGATCGGGAACGGGAGAGGAAGGAGCGGGAAAGGGAGCCCAGCACGGCGCCACCGCCAACTCGAATAAGGGAGCACTTCACCTTCGATCCCCCGCAGTCACCGAAATCGGCGCGCAGCAGCGAAAAGTCAGCCAGTCACTTCTCCTTCAAGAACTATGGTAATGAGCAAGCTGGCAAGGATGCGGGAGTGGGGGTGACAGCATGTGGAGCGGGAGGAGGAGGACCTGGAACCGGGGGTGGGGGCAACGGGGGCGTGGCGGCCAGCGAGGGCGACGAGGAGGATGACGAGCGGAGCGGCGAGAGCGTTGGCAATCGCAGCAAGAAGCTGCGACCCCGCGAACGTGACCCCAATCACATCTCGCCCAGCGTGTCGCCGTCTCATAGTCGCCGTGCGAGTCCCAAGCGGGAGAAGCGCCGGACCACGCCCATCGCCTCGACGGGCGCCATAGCCAAAGTGAGCTCCGCACCGCCCACGATGAAGGATGCGAACTTCTTTGGTAATGCCACCAAGCAAAAGCAGCGACAATCGCAGAATGTTCCGCCGCACCAACTTTCTCCTTCCGCGCAGCAGCGGAAGTACTCCTCCAGTTCCTCCAGCGGAAGTAGTGAGAGATGCCTAAGGGAGGCCACTGGACCAGGAACCATGTTTCCCTTCGATCGGGAAGCTCTGGACTACGAGCGAATCCAAAGGGAATGCTTTGCTCCCAGTTCCACAACGGCCAGTAATAGCAGTGATTCGGAGGCGGAGAACTGTTCGGTGTACGAGAGAAAATCCGGAGCGGATATATTCCAGCAGTACTCCCGGTTGAGCCACCAGGAGCAACTGCAGCAGCACTACCAAGAGCAGCGGGATTGGGAGCGGGATCGTCCGCCCTCGCGAAAGAATTCCAAGCGCATTCGACCGGATTCGGTGATCCATACAACCATTAGGGAGAATCAGCAGTATGTGCCGCAGTCGGATGCCTTCTATCCCCAGGCCAAGTCCTCCTCCTCGCCCAGCGATCACTCATACGCCGAGTTGAACAAGTTCGAGGACATCGCCAGCAAGTTCGAGCAGATCCCGCCCAAACATGGTTCCGTATCCGGTTCGGGATCGGGTTCCCTGCTGAATCTGCACCACATGATGCCCAGTCCGGGCAGCGAATCCGCCGTCAGTCCAACGGACTCCGCCCGCCGGCGGTCCTTCAAGAGCAAGCAACGCCACCAGAAGGAGGAGCACTTCTACATCCAGACGGAGGACCGCAGCGGAACGGGTGGTAACAGTGGGAGCGGTCCCATCAACGTGACCGCCAATCCTCTGGAGGCAGCCGCCGTCTGCAAACAGCCACGCGCCACCATCGTCGTTCAGCAGGTGAGTGCACCTAACGGTTAAAAATTAAACTTTACTTTTTAATATGATCTTTATAAACAATATTATTTAAAACTATTCTGGGCTCTTAAGCAGACTAGGAATTTTTCCTTTGTAAATCTTAAAAAAAAACGTACATTCACGTGCTTTCTTAAAAACGTGTCTTCTTAATAATACCAATTCCTATTCAATCACCTAAATTCCTCCACATTTTCGGTGTGTTCGTTTATTAGTCTATGTCATAAAGTGATTTGTAGTTTTTAAAATTTACCCAAATGATTTGATTTCCTATGAAACTGCACTGATGCATCGCTGTGGAATATTATCTAATTTCCTGTTAATAAAGTGAATTAATTTCTTTATTAAGGATAGCATTACCTCGATGTGTAACCCTATTTTACCCAGAAATCTTCCTATTATAATATAGATAATGAGTTCTCATTGATTTATGGGCAGGTTCTATTGATAATGTCTTCCTAGCACATCTGTATGAGCATATAGATAACGGAAGCTCTCTTTGTCCATCTCTCCAGCTTCGATCCACTCCGCTCTTTACTCCTCTCGCTCTTGGCATCCATCTCACCGCTTTGTCTCTGCTCTTCTCGCTCTCACACCCACTCCCACTTTGCCTCTCGATATCACTTTCTCTCTCTCTCTCTCTCTTTGGGGCCATTTTCACAGCTAATAAAAAGGGGCGCGCGACGCCCGATCTCGTCAGTTTTTGAGAGCAATCCGCAAGCAAAGCATCGCCATTAAAGAAACGCAATCGCGAAGAAGATCAATTCGTATACAATTACCGATTATTGAAGATTTTATATCGTGTTTATTAGTGTCAACCTGTTGGTGTTCGCTATGTAAACGCAGTGACTCGAGGTCAAAAAAGAAGAGTAACACGCAAGGATTGAATATCCCCTCGAACAATTGACACCTTAATTCCGTTCTATAAATCTTGTGAACCAGTGAATCATGGCGCCCTTCTACAAGCGCATCTGTCGCAGTCTTTCAAAGCGATACAAGGAGGTAAATATCCCACAAATCCAACTGCTAAATTCCCTTTACTCGTGGGGACATTCCACAAATCCAACAACTAAACTCCCGTTAGTCGAGAGGACATCCCACAGCAAAAAAAAATCCCCTGACGCGCCCGCTTGATTGATTTTGCTAATGAGCCAACAACATCCAGCCGGGGGCATCAATAAGCCTCCACAGAATATGTAGATAAGATACCAAGTTAATGCCTTGATCCGTCGAACAACCGATATGCGAGATTTATCGACAAACAGTGACGTCAATTTGGCCATAAATTCACACTCCGCTCCGCTCTGCTTGGGTCTGCGATAAAGGTTATGGATTAATTCCAGTCCAGATCGGAATTTTTCGGGTAACTTGTTATCGCTGGGAGGGATGGGTGTCCACCCATCCACACCCACTTTATTTCAGAATATTGCGCCACAATCGACGCTCCAGTGAATGAGTTTCTGACCCACAATGAATTTGTCGTAAATAATTAAAATGTTGCAAGTGACAGGGAAATATGGGGGGTGGTCTTTATTATTCCGTACATCTCGCCGATGACAGCTGTCAAAATAAACTACCACAACAGACCCAGTTGCCCAGTTTATAGAGTCCAAGCATCATCGGTCCAGTGCCAGATCGCAGGTTGTTTTCGCCATATTATATTTATTTACTTGCTTAAATCGGATCATAAAAAAACATAAAAGCAAAGGCCGCCGCAGACACGAAAAGGCAGGGGGTGGAAAAGGGGGCGGGAACTTGTCATAGACCCAGACACAGATATCTACATCTATAGTACCTATATCTGGCTGAGTATATTTAACGATTTCATTGTAATCGGCAGTGAGTTAGCATTTCATTCTTCGAACTTTTGCCCATGATGCATAAAGCGAGAATCGTTTGGGGGGATGCATATATGTAGATTCAGATTCAGATACAGAATCAGATAGATTATAGATGTTCTCGCGGGAAGGCATTTCCTGGTTAACAAGCAAAAACAATATATATATACGTATATGGTACAGAGGGAGGAAATTATAATGCGGCGAACAAATGAATTTCCAACCAAAAAACAAGCCATAAGAAATGACGTCCGGAGTGGAGATTTTCCCAAGAAACGAGCTGGAGGTGCGAATGCGAGGCATCCACCGGCTTTATTTAGTGCCCCAACCTTCAATCAGGTGTAAAGTGTAATTGTTTCCCTCGCAGATCGATGGCCCCCATAAGTTTCGGATTCGGGGTGTGCGTGTGTGGGCATCGAGACGTATAAATCTACATAAATTGCAAGCGACCCTCCGATACCTTACGATTTATCTGCCATTTTACCCCCAGCTTTTCATTTCCACCTGCTCACCTGCTCGCCAGTTTCACTGGTTTTACCATTTTACCTTGGCCGCTTCTTCAGCGAATTATTAGCAGGCACGCACTTCATTGCACTGCAGTTCTGTGGGTGGTAAAGGTGGGTGGTAGGTGTTCGATGGCCTTTGCAACTTGGAGGTTGTATAATCCCCAATGCACTCCACCCCTCTCTCAATTTTCGTGCCATTTCCACCTTCAAAGTAAACATCGCCAGAAACGCAAACATGTTTCCAGTTTTTCCCCCATTGTCGGCTGTTGTTTCCTATTGATTTTACATTGAGTGGTCGAATGGTTTCCTTTGATTGCAAATGCATTCTCACACACACACTCACACACATTTGCCTGTTTCGCCTTGGCTGCCATAAACTGTGGCTAAAAACGCTTAACGCTTAAGGTCCATCCGGCATTCTAGTTTCCACATATTGTGCGTGTCCTTGCCTGATTTTTTTCTCTTTTCTTTATCACCTTAAATGGTGAATCCACTCAGATGTTGAACTTAATTACCGCAATCATCTTAAATACACCGGCGAACACTAATTAGCCATTATTTGTATCACCCAACTACACACATTAATTGGCCATTATTTCGCTGGCTCAACCTTCAAAGGTCAGTTTCCCGAACATTTTCTGGCACTTTCACTTGGCGCTGCGGCCATTCACTCTTTTAGTTGCGAACAGCGGCAGAATTTGCCGATCATTGATAAATGATAAATGGCCAAAACGGTTATTGACTCTCTGCTCTGAGGGGCCTCCAAATCCAACGTGGCTAATTATAGGAAGGGAATGGCCAAACATTTTCAAGAGTTCAGCTTACCAAGGGTTGTGGTCAGGGACTCGATTTGTTGGCACATCGATTTGAACCCAGCAATTGGCTGCAGTGAACTTTCCTCGCAGCTGGACACTGCGTATACTTGATAATGGTCCACGGGTCGGCTACTTAATTTGGCTACTTGATACCCCCCATTTGGATGCTCCACAAACCCCTGCAGATATTTCAGAATCACTTCGCTTTTCCAGGCCAATGGGTCTCTGGGCGGACTCAGATACAGATTCTGGCCGAGGCCAATTGCCTTATAAAGTGACATTAATTAGTTGATTTATTAACTGCCTCCGCACCTGGGAACTGGGCACGATTGCTCCTCCTTTGATGCCAGTTTCATTGACCCCATTCGGTTTGGCGAAGGCTGTTACTGTTGCTGTTGCATTGGCATCTGCATCTGCATCTGCACTTTCTGCAGCGGGAGCCATAAATAAACCTTTGCTATAAATAAACGCGTACAAGGAGATATATGCATGTATAGTAGATATGGAAGCGGTTCGCTCTTGTTATTGTGCATATGCCGCACATACCGCAAGTAATCGTTAGCGGAAAACATTTCCCAGCACCGCGAATAGTGCGATTCTGTTTGTTTACCTGCACTTTGCACTTTTCTCCTTCTGTCAGCCGTTGGACACGTGAACAATTTTCGGTGAAAATCCCCCCAAAAATTAGAAGGAATCACCCGGAGGTGTTTCATTTTGTGGCGGGCGAAAGAGCGTTCCATCAAATCGCAGACACTTTCATCCCAACAACATCAAGATTAGTGTGCGGCTGGGAAAATTATTGTGTTTGGAATAACACAACTTAAAACGGCGGCTGCCCCGCGGTAATGTTATGTTTTCCTTATTTTCTTTTTTCGCCCCCCAAAAAACAAATCGCTGGGCCGGCCCCCCACACACAGACTGGTTTTCCGAGTTTTCCGAGTACGCTTTTTATTTTTAATATTCGTGCCGCATGAAAATAGCCAGTAAACCTGGCCAACCCCCGACCACTCGTCGTTTTTGGCGGATTTCACAGGCGATTGAGCACAGAAAGGCGTGAAAATGAAAGAAAAACATGAAGAGTAATTTGCATACATGGCGCTCGCACGAAGCCGTTATTTTGAATACATACTTAGCAAACTTAAATGTATTTTTAAACGATGCCAAAATCAGAAAAGGAGAAGGAGGGGGAGGGAAAAGTGGGAGGGGGAACGGCAATCGATCGGGTGTGAAATGATTGCTGGCAGCTCGTGTAATATCAATTATAATTTATGCGAGCGTTCCGCATAGCTAAGATTTCGTCTGGTTTCGATTTGCAGCTTGCAATTTCCATAAACAAACCCGATTCTAATTGCATTCCCATCTGCAATGGCCCATTGTTTTGGGTTCTTTGTTCCTTTGGTTCTTCGGTTCTCTCGGCCCGCTGTGTTTGATTAATTCTGGCCAATCTGGGCAATCTGGCCAATCGATTCCTGCCACTCTGCACGTAGACCAATCCTTTGACAATCCTATTTTTTCTCTGGTTAGATTTTTCTCGCTTTCACTCGATTTGCATTCCTCGCATTCTATTTGCCTGTTTTTCGGGCATTTTTCTAACACCTCGAGTCGGTTTGCTTTTTAATAGTCAATTCCAATGCGTTTAGATATACAAATGCGCTGCGTAGTTTCTGAGAGCATCAGCATGGAAACTCTGAGAATGTTCCGCATAAAAACTATATACAATTTTGGAAACCTGACTTGCTGTTACCTATTAAAGTTCCTTAAATAAACTGTTTTATTTTATTTTAAAAAAATCGCAAATATTTTTATTTTCTGGATTCTATTGAATTAGAAACTGATGACCTTCAACTAAAATTGTTTAAATTTAGTCAACTTCAAGTAAACAAATCCAAGCGGCATTAAAAATAAACATAAATAGTGTCAGCATATTGGAATTTGGAATATAATAATAAATAATACAGGAATATTATCTGCAAGACAGAAACGATTTAAATGGGAAGGAAAATATTTATTTTAAAATACAATTTTCATAAGCAAATGTGTAAATATAAACCTTAACCCTTTAGTGCAAAGCTGCACTTTGTAAATAAATCTGTTGCTGACAGTTTATTTAGTTTCGCAACTAGATTGCAATGTATTGTGTTGCACACACCAAACCACACAAAACTTTTTGATGCCCCAAACAAACAATCCTATATATTCCAAAAGTTAAATTCTGTCAAACTTTTTCAGAGTCAGGGGGAGTTCATAGAAAAATGAAGAAAATCAATAAGGCAAACACTGCGTATTAAATACTAAGCAACCATTTTCCCCAATTGCTACCGTGGAAGTTCTGTTCTTTATCGCTTTTTTCGGGAACTCTGGGGTGAATGTGGCAACTTTTTTCCCAAATGCAATCTGCTGCTAAAAATAAGCTGAGAAAAGAAAATGAACCGACGCACTAAGCGATGCAAGAAAAACTATTTTCGGCGTTGGTGTAATGGGGAAAATGGGAAATGGCAGCTGAGAAGGAAAAGAGCAGCGTCATAGAAGCATGTCCACGGCAATATTACTCATACGCCGCGTGTAACGCGTCATTGCTCGTGCTTTTGGGTTTCAAGCGGGGGGAATGGGATGTTGAAGATTTTCCCGCTGGTTTTGTCATCGGGGAAAGTGTCGCATTCTCCCTTTGCGGCGCCACAAAATTGCTCCCCCGGGTTGGATTAGCCAAAAAGTTTCTCTGGTGGCCACTTGAAGTATTTGATTCGAATGTGTGGTGTGGTCCAAATACGATGAGCTGTGAAATCGAGAGGCTTTGGTGGGCGGAATCATTAGTGCCCCTCCAAACACACACACATACACTCTCACACACTAACTTACACACCCGCACATTATTAATTAGCGCTTGGGTAAAATGCAGGCAAACTTTTCCCTTTTTTCCCCAACTGTCAAGTCTGCCAATAAAATACACAAATTAATTTGGGCATTTGCTGGATAAATATATGTATGTGTGTGTGTGTGGGTGGGCTTATATATGTGTGTTTGCAGGTAGAATTTTGCGAGTGTTGGTGTAATTTATGGTGCAAGAATTTCTGCGTGCGCAAATTCTTGATAATTTAACATGGCTGGCAGTCATTTGTCTTCGCCAAGCAGACAGACAAGTTTAAAGCTCAACTTGGCTAGCGTTTTGTTTATGACACATTATTCTTGCCAGCAACTGGAAACAGAATTTAATATCATGCTTTATGGCTGGGGGAAATAGCCGGATTGTCCTGAGTTGGGGAATGAATTCCCATACCAACTATACTTAATCCGATGGAATCATGTTGATAAGTCTTTAGTCCGGCTCGAGAACAAATTAGAATTTGAATATAAAAGCAGGAGTAATTATTCGGGAGCAAGAACAAGAATCTGTTAATAGCTTCCTGCTTGCTGAATTATTTAATTGGTGATTTAGAACTTAACACAAATTTCATGATATGCCTAAGCCTTAAATATAAACCAAGCACAAAAGTAATTATACTGAATACAACCACAAAATTAGCTTGTTGTTGGTGGATTTCGATTTGAGTATTTGGTTAATGCTCGGGGCCAATTCCCATCAGTCAAATTAGCCGCTGGCAGGAACTTATTTAGGGTATCATTAGGCCCTATTAGCTGTTAGCCAGCTAAACTCTGGTCAATAGTCCTTGGCCAGTTAACCGAAGGCAAAAAACACAAATTCGCGGGAATTCACCTCGACACGAATGCCGAGAAGTATTTAAATTTGCAACTGCAGACACGCGATGCAGAGGCTTACGCCATTTTTTCCTGGTTTTTCCACGGGCTGTCAGAACACCTGCTTCAAGGTGCAGATAAAGCAAAAAAAGAAGAGAAAACTTTTTCGAAAATCGCTGATGGCAAAAAACCCTTGAAAGGTGGCGAATCCTTGGGCGAGTCGAGTTGCCCACTGTTTGTGCTGCAAATTTATAAGCCGATGGGAGGAAAGGCATTGAATGAAGTCATCGGGGCATGAGTACTTCGAGTCGAGTTGTTGCGATTCCATTGGAGAATGGCTGCAATCCGCTTAACAATCAACGATACCTTCATTCACCCCTTGTTTCCCTTCTGTTTACTTACCTTTTTTCATTTTTTCCCCTTTTTTCTTTATAGCCCTCGTTAAGTCTGGACAATACTGTGGAGACGCTGCTAATCAAAAATGAGGGGGACTTCATAAGCGTGGAGCAGGGCAAAGAGTTGGTGGTCCGCAAGCGTAATTCGCAGCAGTTGGCCCATCCGCCGACGCACTTGCACCACCACGCCCACGGCCACGCCCACAATCACCATCAGCAGCAGCAGCAGCAGCAACAACAACAGCAGCAACAACACAAGCGGGATGAGAATATGAGGCAGCTGCTGGATGTGACCAACACGCTAACCATTGAAGAGCTGCGCGACTTTGAAATGCGGTAAGTGGGTCCACCGACCCCTCGTTTAACCACCGACCCCCCAAACCCCACCCCCATTTATCCTCGACCTTTGACGGATTATGTTTTATGGCCCAGGCTGAGATTTAATTTCCGATTGAATGCCAATCGATTGGCAAGACTCTCGTAAAAGTGCTCGGACCAAAGCAATCAAAATTTAAATGGCCAAATGGACAAACAGAATGAGAGGAAAAAAAACACACAGAGGACCGCTTTTATGGCCTTCACCTGCCGCCAGTTTTGCATTGCAACAAACTCGAAAGAAACAGGAGAAAAAAGCGGGAATAACCAGAAACAGCCATGATGGGATCATAACTTTTCAAATTACCCATACGACCTGTTGCCAGTTTGGCATGCCAGCGAATTTAGTTTTTATCTCAGCAAAAATTCCTTGAATAAACAAACATTTCTGACTCGCACGTGGACGCGGTTCCTGCATTTGATTGTCATTTTCCAAATTATATTTTAAATATTCCGACCAACCGAGGAGATATTCTGCATGCAGTGAATTAATTTTCCGTAATTTTCGAGAGCAGCCCGAAACAAGTTGGTCGTTTTAATTATCAATATTTTCCTTTGGCTGGCTTGTGGTTAACTCGCCTCGTCGCCCAAGGACACCGGCCACATGTCCTTTGGCCTCTTTGGCATTCCGAGTTGCCAAGGACATGACAGGTTTCTGGTGTTTCGGTATTTCGGTGTTTCGGTGTTTTGGCCAAGAAGTGCATACACACAGATCTCCATTAAACCGCTGTCAACTGCAGTTTGGTTATGACTGCTATTCTGTTTCATGGCATTTCCCCCATCATCTCCTCATCTCCCTCATCTCCTCGAGTTACCAGGTTGGCTTCTGGCTCTAATGGCGTCGCCTTGTTTTCGGCTTGTTTCAGATATGGCTCACCACATCACAGCCGTTCGCAATCGGTGAAGATGCCGGGGAGCAGAGCCTCGGGAAGACCGAATCAGTTGTGCCTGCCCCAGCAGAGATCCAGGTGGGTGTTCCACTGCTAAGTGGTTACCATTCTTTGGATATTAACCAATCGATTTCCCCTCTTCAGAGTGGCTTCCATGCCGAATACCGGAGTGGAGGAGGAGTACTACAGGCTGCGGCACTTCTCGATCACCGGAAAGGGAGTGGTGAACCGTGGCGATTCCCTGAAGAGTCGCCGCAGTCGCTCCAACAACAGCGTGGCCAGTTCGAACTCCAGCACGGAGCACCTGACCGCCCAGCAGCAGCTTTCAGCCCCCGCGTCCGTCTCCGCCCGCACCTCGCTGGCCTCCAGCAGGGAGAGCAGCACCTCCAATCCGGGAAATGGTCCCTACAGGTTCGCTATCTTACCTATTTACTTCTATAAATATTTAATTATGCATGAGCATTACTTTTGTTTTTGTTTTAAGAACAAAGGAGATTGTGATTTATATACACTTTATTTCCGAAACAATCTACCTATAGTTTTTTCTCAATATCAATTTTTTTTTAAGTTCTACCACAGTTATTTTTCTCCTTTTTTTTGGCACTCACAAACAACAAATGAATATAAGTTTAAATAGTCTTGCCATTATCAATCATTTAATAACTATACTTTTTTTAATGCTACTGCTCATTGCACTTTTTAACATTCATGATTTAAATCCTCAAAAAAACAAACTATCAAACCCTTTGGGCATTTATTAAATGCAAATGTTTTTATATATATACACACATCATTAATTATATGTGTCCAATTAAAAAAAGTTATTACCACAAAAGACATTAATCAAATGGAGGCCTTTAATACTCTTTTTCACTCAATAATAATCACGATTAAATAAATGACATTATATGTTTTCATGCAGTAATTTTCATAAGCTCCCATTGAGAAGTATCCTATTAAAAATAGTTAACAACAACAGTCATAAATCAAATCAGGGACTATGCTACTCTTTTTTACTCATTATTGCTCATGATTTAAATACCAAAAAAAAACAAAGTATCAAGCATCCAATTAAAAACAGCAAACAAAAGGCCTACATTCATAAAGTTAAACTATATACATTTTAAAACTGATTGCGCTAATTATGTTTGCGTGACCTTTAAAGATTGCTCGGCCACAGTATCGACTTACAAACAAGAATAAAAGTCGGTAATTGAGGAGAGTCGTTTGTGACATTAATGTGTGTGGGTGTAATTACGGTGTCTAATTGGCTTTATCCATCTATTTATCCGATTCCAGGGTCCTGATGCTGGGAGGTCCTGCGGTGGGCAAGAGTTCCCTGGTCTCGCAGTTCATGACGTCGGAGTACCTGCACGCCTACGACACGAGCATCGGTGAGTTGAAGGTTCCCCTTCCGGCGGAGCCTTGCATCCGGATTCCGGAACATAATCCTCCCTCCCCCTTCCCCCTCTTCCCCACTCCCAAATGCACTGCATAGCCCGCCCTTTGTGTGTGTTTCCATCCCGTGTCTGTCTGAGTGCTTTTGCCTTAGTTGATATTGATATTATTTCATAGTTCTTTTGCTGGCACTGCCTTCAGTTTTCCTAGTCGATGTCGTAGCTATGATGATGTTTTTTATGTTGTCCTATATGCCATCCCCCTCCCATGATATCGGTTTGATTTTGTTTTCCCCATGCCTTCTGTTTGGCCCCTTATATCACATGGCTTTTTATGATTTCGCGTTTCGGAAAGTTTACATTCTTCAGTTGTATTGCCCTGTTTTGTTCCGTTGAGTACCGCCTTCTGTTTGCTTTTTTTCGCTGCTTAGGGCGTTTTATGAGTGGGCCGGTGGGCCAGTGGACCAGTGCCACCCCCCAATGGGTCAACACACATATTGGCATAAAGCATAACAAACGCTGCTGCAACGAAAATAAATAAATTCGCCTCATTTTTGGGTTTTTGCGATTCTATAAAGGCGTGGAATTGGCCAGTGGAAACTGTTTCATTCTCTGGCAGGGAGTAAATGAAAAGAATCGAGTAAACATTTCCATTGGCACCAGCGAAAGAAGGCAAAAAATTAATAAAACAGTAAAGATCAGGCAGCGAATGGAAAATTTAATAAAAACAAATATTGTCGTTCGTCGCAGAATTGGAATTTTGATCTGCTACAATGGAATATTTTTGGTTGTGACCAATTCCAAGCTACCCAAAATTATTCAGCCAATGGTCCCCGTGTAAATGCTTATCCAACACACTGTACCTCATACTGAAATCCGCAATTGTATCATATATATGTTTTACAAAGAAATGATAATTTGTTCTGTTTCTCTCCATTCCGACTATCAACCAATCATTCAACTCAATGTCTCAAAACTGACCCTACAATAAACTCGATAAATAACAACAACAACAACCGAATTAACAACAACAACGACAACTTTGTACATACAATACTGATACTGTATTCCGAACCGAAATCGTGATTGAAATCAGATCTAGGCAACTGTGATATACGCATTCTAATTGAAAAAGCCGCCGACGGTAAATCAGCCAATCAGCCACTCAAACAATATTAATAATAACCTTGTTAATTATGCTACTCCTTAATATTTATTCAAATATCTCTATACATATAATTGAAACGCTTTTCAACTCTCCAAACAAAACTTAAACAAACAACAAACTAGATAAACACCTAGTCCACAATGCATTAGCCCTTCGAATCCCGATTGATTTCGATTAGACAAACTCCTTCCCACCGAACCGAAAACCGAACCACACCTGCCGCCCACTAGCCACGCCCCGGAAGTTAGAGCCCCCACCACCACCCCAAAACAACCCACACACCAATAACATATACTATATATATGTATAATATATAGTCGCATTGAGCTCTCGAATCGATTGTCAAACGATTGCGGCCTTTGTTTCGCTTGTGATTTATGGCCAGTCGATGGGCCGGCAGCCTTGAGGACTGGCATACGATATTGAAATGATTATGCACATCGCAAACACAACAAATGAAATTTAATTAATGATTCGCTCGTAGGCGGAGGCCCTGCAATTATTGATTGCCAAACGGGGAAGGGAATGGTCGTGCGATATATACTGGTATTCAAAACCACAGCTCGCTCCTCCTGTAGTGTTTTTAATTAAAAAGGAAATCAGAGCACACATTAAATGAATAATAATTGAGAAAGCACTCGCTCACTAACACAAACAAAGCCGCTGACCCCTCTTTTCCCGCTTTTCACCCAGATGAGTTTTCCGAGCAGTTCACGTTGCACCCGATTGCATTGCATACTTTTGCGGGCCAATTTAATTTCCCATTTATTAGCATACATTTCGGGGCACTCCGCGCTGACGGCGTTTTTCATTAAACTTGGCTAATGGGCACCAATGTACATGTACTATAGTTCGCATGCAGAAAGGACGACACCTGTAGATAAACCTGAGATAAAAAATCAGACCACCAAACACAACAGAAACTCGCACACACTCGTACTCTTTGTTTTTGCACTTCCAAAAATTGATGTTGTAAATCATTTCATTGCCTGACACCTAAGTTATCGAACTATTGAGCTTTCGCCTTCGCACATGGTAATTCAGCGTTGCTAACCCATTCTTTTCCCCTTGACTGTGTGCAGATGACGAGTCCGGCGAGAAGGCCGTTTCAGTATTACTCAGTGGCGAGGAGTCCGAGTTGATATTCATCGACCATGGATACACCGAAATGACGGTAAGTACCACTCAGTGCACTCAATCCACTCGAAAGCATACTTCAGCGGTCGCAATAATAGAGAAAGGCAATAATCTTGGACAAAACTTTAAAATTGTTTTTAATCTTTTATAGTATAAAAATTGAAAAGATATAAAATCCTATTATTCTATTAAAGTATGTTATTATAAAAGAAAACTACTCCTGCAAAAATAATCATTACGTATTATACATATTAAATGGCTCAATACTTTTATTTTATAAAAAAATATTTGAATTTATGTACCTTCAATATCACAAATCTTTTAAAGAACTCAATTACAAAAGGCACTTCCAATTTCATAATAAAATGATTAAATATTGAAAAGTTTTTAATGGATGCCCAGATACATAAATGCATATATTAGGCTTTTAGTATGTGATTTTGTAGGCCCAAACGTACATTTTAAATTTGTTTACCCTGGGTAAGCTCACTCACACTTGAACCATTTTGGATATTAAAACATTTTTAATGGGTTTTCAAGCAGGGCATAGAGGCTTTTAAAATCCCCATTGTGGTGCCAGCGAAGCCTTCTTGCTATTATTGTGACCAGTGGTATTATATACACCTGCTCATCCGTCCGGCGCCCTGCACTCTATATATCTGTGGCATTTCATAATGCCATTAGCATGCACGGCCATCAACTAACCCCTCATCCCTTTCCCATTCACCCATCGCCACCGCACTTTGGCCAGCTCTCAACCTCACTCAATGTCAGCTCGGTGTCACCTCCACTTCTCCAGTTCTATATCCCACCATTTTGGTTCATTCACAGCCGGATGAGTGCCTGACCAACTACGATCCGCACGGATACTGCGTCATCTACTCGGCGGCGGACAGGAGCAGCTTCAGCGTGGCGGAGCAGGTCCTCCAAGTGCTCTGGACCAATCAGAACATCGCCCAGAAGGCCGTCATCCTGGTCTCGAACAAGGCGGACTTGGCCAGGAGTCGACTGGTCACCTCCGAAGGTGGGTAACAAAAAAACACAGAGTATATAAATATATATGGCAGCGATTTGCCCCGTTCATTAACACTCGAAAGTGCGCTCGATTGGGTCCGTTAAAAATAGCCAGCGATATAGTTTAAGTAGGTGTTTGTTTGTGTGTGTGTGTGTGTGTGTAAACAGGACCCTTGGGAGTCGGGGGTCACCTGAAGGGTTTGCCCAAGCGGAAGTCATCCGGCGGTTCGCCTACACAAACAGCCGGAGTCTTTAAGTGCGGAAAGATAGCCAACACCGGATTTTTCCCCCAATTGAAGGTCGGTCGACAATTTCGGGGCTCTTTTTGTCCGCTCAAGTACTTTCACTTGACTTTTATATCGGATTCCCGTTTAAGACCAAGGTAACTGGGGCGCTTTCATCTAAGTAATTCAATATTTTCCGTTAAATTACGTTTGTTATTATGGAAGTGGGTGTCGGGGAAGGGTTCCCCCTTTCCCCTTTGCCTCTTCGGCATTCGCTCCAGAGTAATGGCAGGGAAATTGTTTCAGCGCAAAATTGATTACATTTCGTCCCGTGTGGCATGTGTTCCGCTCCGCTCGAGGTTTAAGGCCCATAAGCCTATTGTTGTAAACAGGGCGACAACGGAGCCCCACAAACCCCCGCCCACGCAAAATCCCGACTTTGGGCGCTGAGTTCTTGTCCACCTAATGCGGCGTCCTAATTTCATAAAGTATTTATAGAATTTTGTATGCCTCTGGCAATAATAAAATGAGAGCTCGGCCCAGAAACGTCTGGATAAAACATATATTCATAAATCCATACAGTGTCACAGTGATTGGGATAAAACGAAGGACCGAATGTGGAGACTCATATTTGACTTTATCATTCCATGGGCTCCGAAATAGCTTTTGAATTTTTAATGCCTTTTCCTCGTATTTCATTTTCACCTTTCCACCTTCGGCATATTTAATGGTGTCTGCGCCACTCTAGTTCCCGCACTAATTATTCAATTGGGGTAAACATTACCCCGAATCTAGAAACTCCTGTTTGCTTTTAATTAGGATCCCACCGAAATCGAAAGTCTGGGAGGATAAGAGCTTAAGTCTTTAAAGCCTATGAAAGGCTGGACCGGCTATCAAATTGTAATAAAAGCAGCCGAAGAGGACATACACAAATATAAACGTTTGTGTATCGGGCAACTTTCGTCACATTGTTAATAAAAATGCGAGCCTGGCTATAAAATTTGCACCAGGAGGGTCGCACGCATGATGTACCTCCGCATTCAGCGAACTTTGATGCTCCAGATTTTACGAGTTGTGTACACAACTGCGGACAAGACGTGACGGATGGAGACCGGAATGGGAATGGGAATGGGGACAGGGATGCAGCCCCATGTTTGGACACGAATCCACGAGTCCAAGTTGAGGTTTTATGGCCAACTCAGAGTTAACTAAGCGAGGCCATTTGATTTGATTAACCGGGGTGTCGGAGGCACCGAGGAACGGAGGATAACAGAGCTTGACCGTGATGCTTCTGGGGCCATAATTTCCACACATTTTCACTTAACCTCTCACTCGCTTCTGCTCATTTGCAGAGGGCAAGGCCATGGCGACCGCCTATGATTGCAAATTCATCGAGACCTCGGTGGGCATAAATCACAACGTGGACGAGCTGCTGGTGGGCTTGCTGTCGCAGATACGCCTCAAACTGGAGAATCCCGAGAAGTCCAGGTGGGTGGAGGAGAGCTTCTTGACTTAACTAAACATGGCTTACTTAACTACTGTATTGTATTCCTCCGCAGGGATCTCTTCCGGAAGCGTTCGATTAGAAAGTCAAAGCGACGAGCCTGTTCGCCTCTCAATGCAGGATGTCTGAATGCCAACACCCCGCTGGGTCCTTTGGGGGAGTCGGTGGCCACGCCTCCTGGCAGTGCCCAAAGCAGGTGAGTCATGACGAGCCATCAAAGCCATTCCGCAATTGCTCACTCACATCCATCTCTTTGCAGTCCACGGAAATATCGCGGCTCGAGAACTTCCACCAGCCTGAAAGTCAAGGGGCTCCTGGGTCGCGTTTGGACCCGGGACTCCAAGTCGAAGAGCTGCGAGAATCTGCACGTACTCTAAGCCCACAAGTTACCCAAAGTGTATCCCAAACAAGTTTCCTATAGAGTACGCAAGATCCTAGCCTAAGTTACAAATCAGACTCGATTTAACGGGGGTTCTATTCCCAACTTGTACATATTGTGTATAATTTAGCCTTAATTTACGCTAGTCATTTCCCCCATTAATCATTGTATATAGTTTGTCTAAATATAAAGCTATTATTTGTAATTGATTTATTATGCTTTTCGTTTTCCTTTCAACATGAGTTGGGATCATTTTCAATGCCTGGAATGAACTATTAGTTTTAGTTCTGATTGAAAGAATTTAAAATACAAACACAAACCAAGTTAAAAAGCAATAATTTTTGGAAAAAATACAACATTATACCCTTGTTCATGGAGAAGGAGTTGATGATACCAATTGTACTGATTTTTGAAGGTCTGGCGATTGTCCGCCAACTGAAACTTATTGTTAATTATATACGTGTAGTTATACATTTGTAATGGCATTGCATTTTAAAATTACAAGAATATTCACATGATTGTTACTAGATGTTCAGAACTTGATTGATCAAAAGCGAACCGGAGGATATATTAGCCATTTTGTGCAATTTTGCTTAATTAGTCATAGGAATTTTGCCGTAATTGTTAACCTTAACTATTTTTTTGATGGAGCCCATCGTGCACCAAAAACCAGCACGCCCTAGGTTTCTCATGTTAGTCGGGACCATTTCAAAATTAATCAAAGATAAGAGAGATATGATGGAAACACTAGATTTACGCAGGGCTACTATTAGGCTCATGGCAGCGTAGTTTTACATTAATTCAATATGTGATTTTACACAAGGTCCACAAAATCGAGAGCAAGAGCAAAATTTAAAAACAAAAACATTTTGTTAATATGTGTGTGCTGCGACCTGCTCTATTAAATATTGAGGCCAGCGGTAGAATTTTGAGATTTTTAACTATAAATGTCAACACTAGTAGCTTAGGGCAAAACCACACACCCATTCCCATTCCATTTGCCCGCGGGCAGTACTACTCTAGATGTCCAATAAATGTATTATAGATGTCCATTAAGTATTATAATCACCAACAATTGCAGCACAATGGAATTTAACGGAGTGGTGTTCTGGCAAATATCAAGGTTTGGCTAAAGTCGGAACATTGAAGGAAACCTTAAGAAATACGTGCATCCCTACATATGTGTAATATAACCAATCTAACCAGATAGTTAAAATTTATATAGCTGTAATCGCATTTTTGTCCAGAACTCTGTGTATTATTCTCGCTCAACATCAGTTAATGAATTCGAGCCGAAAACTATGTAGGACAGTGATAGACACACTCGATTTGCACAGATTGTACAACACTTTATATAGGGAGAAGCGAAAGTCAGCCATAAATGTAAGCGGTGACAGAGTGAAAAACGTAACCAATTAAGAACATGTTCGATTTTCTCGCTCCGATATATATGTCTAATGAGTGTATATTAAATGTGAAAAGTTCAATTTAACCTTTTGGTGTGTTGTCTTTTATTTGGGGTTTGCATACAAGTTGAATATTTTTATTTTTGTTTTTAAGGTGCAAAAATAAACAACAGTGGACCAATGAGAAGAAATTAATAAAAAGTAGGCATCGTAATGGTGACGATAAATTGCTTTTTTGCTCCCACTGTTGTTTTTAAAAAACCGTTAGTTAACATATCTGTTAAAAGTCTGTTGTTTTAACATTGAAAACTTATTCACCTCAGCGCTTTTCAAACTGTAAGGCAACATTTCTGTTAAAATCGCTATCTTAACATTGCGCACAAATTCACCTCCACCAATATATTTACTATTGCCTATTCATACTACCATAGTTTTAAAGAGCACTTAATATTATTTAATAATAATATTAGGATCAAACATTTGATCAACCTTAATTTTTTGTTTTGTACTTGAAATATTTAGAGGCAGACAAAGAAGGAGACTAAATAAAATTTGATTTGCTTTTTGAAAACACTTGTTAAACATACAAATCGATAGTTGCAGGGAACACATCGATAGAAAGTTGTGTGGCCTTATCGGTAAAACCTAAAAACATCGATTTTTGTCCCATCTCTGGTGTCACACACAGATGCACATCGCCGAAAATCCAGATATTTTGAGAATAATTGGACATATTCCATCCGCCCCCACGCTGCAGTAATGGTAAGTGTGTCCAGTTGCGTCCTGTAATCCCCAGAAGCCGAGATTCCCGAATAGGCAGTACAAGTTAGCAGATAACCGAGTGCACCAAGCAATCGGAAAACCGCTGACTGCGCCCCTGTCGACGTGAAAAGGGGTCGGCCCACTTGGTGAGAAGCAACGCCCCCGGTCCAAATTCCCACGATCATGTATCCCTGGAGCTCGTCCTCTTACGGTGGTCAGGTGTCCAGTGCCGCCAACGCACGGGTAAATACTCCAAATAGCTCTCAGATTGCGAATCTCGGATGAGAGAAATCTGCATCCCCGCTTATCTGCAACTCACTTAATTCTCGGGCTCTGCTACCGGATGTGATCCGGTTTAAGCCAAGCAGGCTTATCTCGAGCTGTGCGTCTTGTTTGTGCTTCAAAAACGATCTATGTTGCACCCACACAGTAATAATGTCTGCCATGTCTCCTTTCAGACCATGCCGAATGGTTTGGATGACCAGGAGAAGCTGCTGGCCGAGGCCATTGGAGCGGCGAGGAAGCAGGCCTTCCAGATGAACCACTTTCTGGACAAGGAGCGCATGCTGGACTCACTCAAGTGCGCCAGCACCATGCTGAGCGAACTGAGAACCTCCCTCCTCTCCCCCAAGAGCTACTATGAGTTGTGTAAGTCAGCGTAAAGCCTATAATTATAATTTCCGATTTGTAAGGCAATCCCCTTTCCTCAGACATGGCCGTCACCAATGAGCTCTGCCACCTGGAGCTGTATCTCAGCGAGAAGAGCGACAAGAAGACGGATCTTTACGAACTGGTCCAGTATTCGCACACCATTGTGCCACGCCTGTATCTCCTCATCACGGTGGGCATTGTGTACATCAAGAACGACTCTACGCTGAAGCGCAGCATTCTCAAGGATCTTGTGGAGATGTGCCGTGGTGTCCAGCATCCACTGAGGGGCCTCTTCCTGCGCAACTACCTGCTGCAGTGCACCCGCAACATCCTGCCCGACGTGATGGTGGCGGAGAACGAACACGAGGGCAACGTGTACGATGCCATCGATTTTGTGTTAACTAACTTCGCCGAGATGAACAAGCTTTGGGTGCGCATGCAGCACCAGGGACACTCCAGCGAAAAGACGCGTCGTGAGAAGGAACGCGAGGAGTTGAAGATCCTGGTTGGTACCAATCTGGTGCGTCTGTCGCAGCTGGAGTCGGCCACGCTGGAGACCTACCAGCGGCTCATTCTGCCAGGCATTCTGGAGCAGGTGGTTAGCTGTCGGGATGCCATTGCCCAGGAGTACCTCATGGAGTGCATCATCCAGGTGTTTCCCGATGAATTCCATTTGCAGACTCTCGATCCCTTCCTGAAGTCCTGCGCTCAGCTGGAGACCGGTGTGAATGTTAAGAACATCATTATATCGCTAATTGAACGACTCGCTGCCTATAACCAACGAAGCGGCAAGGTAATCATCTCTGAATTTTACTGCTTTTACAAATTAATTAAAATATTTTCTCTTTAGACCAGTGGCAACGCCATCGATGCCATTATACCCGCCGAGGTGGAGCTGTTTGAGGTGTTCAGTGTCCAAGTAGCCAACATTGTGCAGACCCGAATGGATATGCCACTGGAGGACACCATTTCGCTGCAGGTTGCGCTGCTCAGCCTGGCCCAGAAAGTGTATCCCGATCGCGTTGACTATGTGGACAAGGTGCTGGGCACTACCGCACAAATTCTGCAGCGCATGAACATGAACAAGTTGGTATAACTAAGGCAAAAATTATAATGGTTTCTGAATATGGTTGTATATTTTCTTGCAGCATCTCGCATCTGTTGTCCGTGAACCAGGAGCTCTCCCGCCTGTTGCGCATTTGCATCGACTTCTACAACAATGCCTTGACCATCATTCAACTGCACAACTTCTGTCCACTGCTCGAAAAGTTTGACTACACCTCCCGAAAATCACTGGCTCTTTACCTAGTTATGAATATTCTGGACAACGAAACCCTGGTTCCCACGGCCGATCAAGCGGACAGTCTGCTGACCATCATCACGCCGTTGATCAAGGACGACGACACGAACAAGGACAACGCAGCGGCAGCAGGACACACAAGTCCGGATGCTGAGGAGTTTGCTGAGGAACAGGGAGTTGTAGCTCGGTATGTAGGATACTCTTTCTATAAAACCTTTATAACTTATTAACTCTTTTTAGATTCATTCACCTGATGCGCTCCGACGAGCCCGACATGCAGTACAAAATGCTGCAGACGGCCCGCAAACATCTGGGCAATGGTGGAGGTCAGCGTCTGAAGCACGTTCTGCCACCTCTCGTCTTTGCCGCCTACCAGCTGGCCTTCAAGTACAAGGCCATCGCCGAGCAGGATGAGAACTGGGACAAGAAGTGCCAGAAGATCGTGCAGTATTGCCACAGCACAATTAGTGCGCTGGCCAAGGCTGATCTCGCTGACTTGGCCCTGCGTTTGTATCTGCAGGGTGCATTGGTCATCGGAGAGATTGGCTACACGAACCACGAAACGGTGGCGTACGAGTTCATGACCCAGGCATTCTCCCTCTATGAAGACGAGATTTCCGACTCCAAGGCCCAGCTCGCAGCTATAACGCTTATTATGTCCACGTTCGAACAGATGTCCTGCTTCGGAGAGGAAAACGCCGAGCCACTTAGAACGAATTGTGCGCTGGCCGCTTCCAAGTTGCTGAAAAAGCCGGATCAATGCCGCGGTGTGGTGGCTTGTGCGGCACTCTTCTGGAGCGGAAAGTAAGTTTGATAGACCAATCTCGATTAGATCACAGCTAAAACTTCTATAATATTTGCTAGGCAAAATGGTGAGGAAATGCGCGATGAGAAGCGAACCCTGGATTGTCTGAAGAAGGGCGCTCGCATTGCCTCGCAGTGCTTGGATACCGGCGTGCAGGTTCAACTGTATGTGGAGCTGCTGAATCACTATCTCTTCTACTTCGAGCGTGGCAATTCCCTCATCACCGTAGCCATGCTCAACCAGGTGAGTTTTTTTTTTTCTCTAAACAAGGGAAATCCCTCATTTCACTGTTTGCTGTTCCAGTTGATTGCCAAGGTAAACGAGGAATTGCCCAACCTGGAGCCCAGCGAGGAGACCAAACAGATCGAGAGCCACTACAAGAACACGCTGGCGCACATACGCAGTCGCATGGAGTCCAACGATTCGACGTTGGAGGTTTCCTTTGCGGGCATCACCCTCAATTAGCCCAGCCCACCCACTTCGGACAACTCCGGCAAGCATCGAAGAGCTGAAAGCCTGAAGGTCGATCGGCTAGGCGTGTTTTTGTACTGCTACTAGTTATCAGCTTGCCCGTAGGCCGTTCGGTTAATTCGAAGCTCGGCGAGAGTATCAAAATTGCTTGTGTGAGAAATGAAATTCCATGGTTAGGAAAGTTGTGGGCCTTCGACCAACTTTTGTTTTGTCAATTTAATTTCGATCGTAATCGTAAGTGCAAAGTAAAAACATTCTTGATTATTTTCCTGATTTATTTAGTATGATAGCTATGCGTAAATAACACCCAACAGAGGATTTTTACTTTACTACTCTATTTAATCCCCCTACCCATACCCCTACCCTAAAAGATAATGTGAAAATATTGTTAAACAAAAATTATACAACCTACATACGATTATCGAATTGGTTCACGAATCGCCACGCGCTACGTATAAATATGTATTACAAATAAAGTTAAGATCAAAGTGTTTCCGCGAACCACTTGTGTGGCCTCAACTAAAGTGAATCAAAACTCGTCATCGGTAAACATGTAAAGTAAATCGTTTATTAAAATATATAAGACGCCTAAGTTCCGTCGGTCTATCAATCAGTTAACTTAGCTTCCATTTACATACAATACACGATGAGTTTGCACCCGTATTAACCCTACAGGCTCTAGCCGATCCAATATATTCGTCCTTCCATCAATCACATGCGCTGCAAGTTAGATGTGTTGCTATCCTTCTTCCGGTTTCTCTGGTTGTTGTGGCAGTTTTTTCGTGGGGGAGTGGAGCGGTGGTTTCCTTGTGGCAGTTTCCTGTTGCTTCGAGACCAGTTAGTGGGTGAGAGAAGGTGGTTAGGTACTGTGGGCAGTTAAATTGGTGCGTTTGCGCCGCTTAATGCTAATCTTTTTAGTCACTAGTTTCTAAGCATAAACATTACAGATAGAAAGCGCCTAATTCACTTTGAATGCCGTGCAGCAAATGGAAAATTTTGAAGCATGAGATAAATTTGTTTTCGTTTCTGCCTAGCTCGAGATTGCTCGCGGTGTGAGCGGTGTGAGCCGCCCCTTTAGACCGACGTCACTTTGTAGTAGTTGTAGACGTAGGGCCAGGAGGCCAGCACGTACTCCTCGATGCCGCACTCGTTGGAGCCGCGCAGGATGCGGAAGTAGCCCCGCTCGCCCCACCAAGGTCCCCAAGAGTTGGCTGCGATCTGCAGGAACAGAGAAAGGTGGTTAGCAACTGGCAGGGAAATCAACTTTTATCAGGTTTCATTACTCACCCAGTACTTATCACCGCCGTGCTCCTCGCCCCAGCCAACCAACTTGACCGAGTGGAAACCAGTCTCGGCTCCTCGGTTGGCCGCCGTCTTTCGGTAGACGCCTCCCGAGTAGGTGAAGAAGTCCCTGTACACCCGCATGGTGGCCTGCACGGGTCCGGAGTGGTAGATCTCCGCCATGATGTCTTCCTCGCGACTGAGACTGTAGGCGGGACCCACCGTGTAGAGGGCGTCCCTTTCCACGTTCTCCGACGGACTGCAGCCGTTCTCCCGCAGCGAGCGACTGTTGTGCCGGATCTTGCAGGTGTCCCGGTGCTGGGTGTACGGATAGCAGGCCTCGTCGACCACGCCCTTCTTGTGCAGGTAGCGCCAGGCGGCGTCCAGGTGACCGCCCTCGCAGCCCTGCTGGCGACGCGTGCAGGAGAGGATGTTCTGGGCGGACAGCTGGACGGCCTCCTTGCCCTTGCTCTGGATGGCGAAACGATCGCTGGCCACCGAGGCGGTGGACAGCACCCAGGAGGCGCCGCACCAGCCCTGATCAGGAACCTCCGAGATGAAGCTGGACCACCTGTCCAGTGCGTTGAAGGAGTTGGGCAGACCGTCGGTGGGGTTCCTCAAGCGGGACATCGCCTTCACGCGGTACGTGGGCTCCTTGGTGCCCAGTCGCAGTCTCAATCCCTCGGCGTACTTCCTGCCCCACCATTGGTCATACTTGCGGGCCGACCAACCCAAGCGGTGGATGGAGTTCACGCTGTGCACGATCTCGTCGTCGGTGAGACAGAGGTCCGTGTCGCACTGCACCCGACCGCCGTCCAGGCAGCGGCATTCGTTGCAGTTGTCCCACGTGCTGTTGTACTTGGAGAAGTAGACGCCCTGGTGCAGGCAGGACACTATGGGGTCGGCCTCTCCGATGCAGAAGGAGCGGTAGTCGGGGCAGCAGTCGCTGGAGTCATCGCGGTCGCAGAACTCGTCACAGTAACAGAGAGTGGCTGCAAAGAGGAAAGAATTTGTGATCACTGATGGGAAATAAACTCTTCCGAAATTTTACACCTCAATTAAATTAAATAGAGCGAAACATTTGTTTCATAAGTTATCACTTTTTGGGAAAAGTTATTGGTCGATAATACCTTTTCAAATATATAGATATAGAAAGAGGAAGATAGATGTAGATGTAGATACATATATGCATAAAAATTGCATGCATAAAGATTAGATTATGGGGTTGTTTATAATTAAGTTAACAAATAATTTTTTTAAATCTGATAAAATATTGAACGGTTTTTTAATAGAAAAAAACTATGTATTAATAATTTAATAATCATGGTGAACATTCTGTTGGGAGAATAATATTACCAATATATCAATAAAATATTTGGATCACAAAAATTAGACTTAAGTTACGTGTGCGTAAATAAGACTCATTGTTCGTACAAAAGGCAATTAATTCCTCTCCCAATTATAATCTTTTCTAAATCCCAAGCTCAACTTACTGGAGATGGGCAGCGAGCAGCCGTCGTGCCTTTCCTTGCAGCAGGTGTTGCGGAGGGCGCAGTAAGGACCCGGGAAGTCCCTCTTGAGGGTGTGATCGAAGACGCTGGCCACGCCCTTCAGCAGGAACAACAGGGCCACCAGGTGGACGCACTGGATGGTCATGGCTCCTCGGATGAGTTACGATCTGCAACTAAAGCGGCGAAAGCAAGGAATTTATGAATTGGCACAAATTATCTTATCTCAGAGATCAGCAGGCAGATAAACGGGCAGCAATTTGTCAACAATTAACAAGTCAAATACACAGAATTCCTCGCATCGCGCATACGACCCGTTCAACGCGAAGTATTAGCCAAATGCGATGGGGGGATGCGAAACCCGTTCGGTCTGGGTGAAATAATTAATCGGTGTATCTTTTGGATACGGGCAGCTCCTCATCACAAATTCGCTGGTCGTGCACAGAAGAACGGTTAACAGTTAGCTCCGCCAAATATATTCTGATGACGCCAGCTTGTTGGCCGATTCACGAACCCTGTTTGCGTCGAAACGCTTCTTCCTCACTTTTTTTTTATTTTGTCTTGGACTCTTTTAATCCAAGATTTGCGCACACCAATCGAAAAATCCGAAGAATCACGCTCGGAAGCGCCCCTTTTCTTCATGTTGTTTTGGTAGCTAATATATTTCTTTCAGCTGATAATTCTGGAGACGGAGACGAAGATTAAACTTGTTTATTTGTGAGAACACGGCGCGAAGACAACGTTTCATAATTAAATGCAAATTGCAAATAGATTTTCCTGTTTCGCCCAAAACAGAATCGTCAGCATTTCTGTCGAGGGTGCCACAAAGTGTATTTAATTAAAATCGCACAAAAATTAAATTTAAACATCTTCTGAATCACGAATGACTGTGGCAAACAAAACTGTGGAAGGTGTTCAAACATTCCACCCGCCCCACAAATATTCCTCGATTGTTCGCTAATGCTGAACCCGTTTTTAATTTAGTGATAATTAATTTGAAAGTTTGTGTAGATAATTAATTGCCCATTCGATTGGCAATAAAGTTTCGGCGTGGAAAATAAGCAAAAAAATACTGAAATTGAATTGTAGTTGGAGCCGTGACGAAGTTCTATTATTAGAAGCGCTCAGCAAACAATAAAGATTATAAAACTTCAGTTTCCGAGATTGTCAGAGACTGTTGACACTTGGAATGGTCTAACACAAACACCGCTGTTTATTCCTGGCCGAGCCAGAGATATTCTGAATACCAGGCATTAAATTGAACTCCAAACAATCTCGTATCTGCTGACCAAGCAGTCTGGCAGGCAAACAAAGGCTTTGCAATCCATACGCAATACTAACATTTTGAAAGTTTGCACAATTCGAGTCGACGACTTCCCGCACTCAATGGCCAATAATTGGAAGTTTCGGGCTTGTACTTTTCACAGAGCTGGCAATTTTATTATAATAATTCAGTTTTGTTATCGCGCTGTTCCTACTTCGATCGCGGCTGGTTGCTGACTGAATTCGGTTAGAATAAGGGGCCGCCATATAGGTTGCTGCTGCCGCTTCTGTTATTGTTGCTGCTGCGGGCAGCGCTGCTCTGCCGCCCGATCTCGGAAGCTATAGGTTGTGAGCCATATAGCCATAGCCACAGCCATAGCGTAGGTGGTCTTTAACGCGAGAGCGAGAGAGGGAGAGGGAGAAAGAGAGAAAGGGAGGGAGCGGGCTCTCGCCATCCTGCTGTTACTGCCACTGAGGCGTATACGTCATAAGTATCTAATGAGCCAACGGATAGAGTCCTAAGCTGTTTAGCTGGGCTAAATGTTTGCCTTAATTTGGCTAGCGACGGAACAAAGAAAGCAGAGATATTGGCAGTCCACCTATAAGGTCAGAGATCGCCAAAAACCACTTTCATGTGCAAATTCTTCGCCGCATTTTTGTGCGCAGTTAATTTTAGTTCTCTGGTTTGTTTTTGTTTGCACTTATCTGGTCCCGAAAAGTGATAAGATATTTGGGCGATAATTGGACCCAATTCGAGTTCAAGGCCTTCGACAATAATTTAATTAAATTAAATTGTTAAGGTATGTCTTTATGTTTCTTTTTTTTTTGCCAAAGAGGTGTGACATTTTGCTATCTTTTATTTGAGGAATCTGCACTGATTTCCAACAAACATTTATACTATAAAGGCTTGCTTTTTTTTGTGGATGCGATCATCGCCGATTCGTCTGCCATTTCACTTAACTTCGATCCGGGTTTCTGTTCTTTGCATACGAGTAATTACAATTAAGAGCATTTGCAGTTGCAAATATCTGCTCACACATATGGACCACATCACTTCAGTTAACTGGTCGTCGTCATCGATTGAGGATGATCCAATTCCGCATTGAGTAAACCATGCCGTCAACCTTTATTTATTTATCGATGAGAAGTAATGTATTCGACAATATTACGCAGCGGAAACAGGAAGTATGTGATTCACAGTATTGGCATTTCCCCTTTTTATTAACACTTAATCTTTGACTCCCTAGAGTGAGCCACGAAATTTCTCGATAAAATAGGCAGAGTATGAAAACAAGCCAAAATCATTAGGAAAGCTGATTAAAAAGCATGTCTCCAGTGCTGAATGGGATACAAACCGAAGCTTGATGTGTGAAATAAAGCCATCAGACGACATTAAGACTCTCTGTCGCCCGACGCGATTTGCATGACATTAAACTTCATTTTTATGAGCGATTTCTGTCCGCTTCGAACCAAATTAACATCTCTGGCCAAAAGCCGATAAAAGCCCGCCAAAGAGATTGTTTGTGAGCAAAGCGAATGTGTCGCCTGTCTCCAGTCTGAGTAATTTTCCTTTCTCCGCATACATTAACCACAAATCACCCAAAACTGACAAAGCTGAGATAAGATTTGGCTAACAAGATTAACATGGTTTGCCATAGAAACTAAAAATAAACTAGCTATACTTATCCCATTGCAACTGCAATTGTTGGCCGTAAAATGGCATGAGTAATCCCTAAATATCAGTAACTAATTTGCACTAAGCCAAACGATGACAGCACGACAAATGGCCAGTTGTGACTATTTGTATTGATTCATCGCATATGGAATGCAATTAAGGCGAACTACCAACGTGAAACCCGATGACAATCTACCGGGTAAATGAAGTCATTAAAGTGTCGTCGGCTGACTGCCTTATCATCGCGAATGCCTGAATTAAACTGGGCAATCAATTAGCGGGTATTTATACATAATTATGCCATTATTTAATTGGCCCCCTGATTAGCATTATTTGTGTGTGGCTGGCTATGCGACCAAAAGGTATTTTATTGATATTCTGGAGGTACTACGCACTCGAACGCCTATTGATTGCTGGCATTCCAAAGCAATAAAGTCATAACAGTCCGATTGAATTAAATCGGACGGACACAAGTACGTAGAAGTTGGGCAGGCGGAATTCGATACCCGAAACTAGTTCAAGATCAAAACAATCCAATGACAATCCCACCTGGCATGTAACTTCCTTATCGCGGATGTTATCGATACGATTTACATTGTTCAATTTGGGGAGAGATTCACGGCATTTCGTCATAGCGCCAACTGATAAGTTGGGTGGGTAGACGACATAAAAACTTTGGAAACTTTTGCCATAAATCGAGGGATTCCACAATGAATACGACTTTATTGTCTAGGAAGTTGTGAATGGAATTTTTATCAGCTCTGCCTGTCAGTCGCCAAAGGTATTTTGCTTTTATAAATATTTGCCCGAAGAAATTTCTTATGGCCCATTTCACTCGGACTGCGAATGTGTGGCTATATTCGGAAATTAATAACTGAGGTTAATCGTTTCCGAATCGAATGACTTGCAAGGCAAATAATCCAAAGAATGCGTAAATATTTGCAAAGAATTCATTGAGAGTTGCCAAGGCGGTTTCATCCATCCATAATCAATTTACTGATCATTAAAAAGTGTATTTATTTGCTTAATTCTTTAACGGTCTGTCTTTGTTTATGTGCAATGGCAAATGGGAATTTTGAACTTGTTGTTAAAGCAATTAATGAAGTATAAACCAAAAGGAATTTCGGTTTTCTCCTTGGATCTCGAGGTGACCGGCTGGAACTGCAACCTTGATCCAATCGATTCAGTGAATTTTTCGGCATGTTTCCAGTGAAATGCGGTGAGATTTAGATTTGGGTTTACACAATTTCAATTACAGAGAATTTCCGCCTAGGTATGCGAGAAACTTTCCTAAATCGAATTGAGATGAGTGTTTGCTGAAGGTCAAGGTCTCTCTATTTGGCACGCAATTTTCCCATCAGTTTTAATTTTTTGTTGAATGTTGGTCAAGTTATGACGAAACCGAGCAATTGTGACCACAAATGGAATCGAATTAATTTTACTTGTCAATTGGGACAATTTCTTTGGCGGCAGCCACAAAAAATACAAGAACACGATCTTTTGGAGGGGCGAAGGTCAGCGGGGAATGAAAGACATTCTTTTTGGCATATTTTTGTTTAATATCTCACATTTTCGATTCGTTTCAATTACACTCCACTTGTCGGGCATCAAGTGCAGGGCGTCTGTTCTTTTCCCCATTTTTGTTTTTGTCTTGTTTTTATGCAATTTAAATACTTTTTGTGCGGTTGTCTGACATTGAAGGCGAATTATTATATTAACTATTAGGGAAAAAAGACAAATATGCGACGACGAGGTGTCAGGAATATTAAACGCGGGAATTATTCGTGCGCAAAAAGTATTTTATTTATGTGAGTGCAGAGTGCTGGGAATTTGACAGCCTGACAATTGGTTTATTATGGCTCTCACCCAGCTGCCCGATAGCCAATTTATTGATCGGCTTCGATTTCAGTCATGTTTCCGGGTGCAAACTTACACACACCTCCGCTTATAACACACCCCATCAGGTGGTCAGTTTATTTTTCATTTCTTTTGTTTGCAGTTGCATTTTACGACTCGACATTTGGATTTGACTTGGCCCGGCCAAAAGAAACAAAATCGCAGAATCATATCTCAGCTGATCGCGGCGATTAATCTATTTATAAGAGTTATTTCACGAAAGACTGGAAAGCAATCCAAGCAGCCAAGCGGCTAATTTTAAAACATTTGCAAACACTTTGGACCGACGTCATTGTTTAATGAGTTTGGAATATTCACGGCTAGCTGGAGGATATTTATGTT